CATTATCATTATCACATTATAATATGAAAAATATTTCTCAAATAAATATAGTTTGGTATTTCAAATACAACTCACAATCAAAGGAAATAATCATCTATGAAAGTTGGGCTCCTCAAGTACAAAATTCAAGTCTCATCTTAAACTGCAACATTATTCTTAACTCCTTTAATTTAGTTTAATAGCCAAAGAACAGTTCAAGTAAAAAAATGCACTAAAAAAGAAACAAAGATGAAGAAAAATGATAAAATACGTGCCATTTTCATTTTCCATGGACAATCATGGCTCTCTACAACTTCCTGTCTTTAGTTGCTTCAAATAACTCTTGCTCCTTCACCACCTCACCTTGTCCTGGTTCTGCCATCCATGTAACCAGACTTGTTAAATAGGTTACTTCTTGTTTCTCCCTATGTCCTGTGAGTGTTAAATTCTCCAAGCCTGTCACATTTTAAAGACTTTATTCCAAAGCTTTTCATATACTTATCTAAAGATTGTGATGTCAATATATTATTACTACTACTACTACACCACCACCCACCATCACCACCACATGGCCAAATGGTTAGAATGTTTGCATTCTCACCATGAGATCCGGGTTTGAATCTCATCAGGGTTGATTGGTCAGGAAGGTGACTTCTTGATGTTATCAGCCTGGAAAGGTGATCCCAGCATAGAAAGTGCCTGAAAAATCATACCACTGGTTGATCCAAGCCTTGATAGATGGATGGAAATATTTTTGGAAGCCATTAGTGGTTGCACTAGCACAAAGTCACAAGTCATCGTGACTGATGGTTTGAGTATACTAGCCTTGTTCAGACTGTTGATCACACTAGATAATGTGCTCTCTCCCAGAAACTGTAACTTAGGTCTGCTCAGCATAGTTGCAGTATAAACCACAGGTGGGCTCTGTGGGTGTTGAATAAACACAAATGTGCCTGAGTAGGCACCTGCAATACCAATTGGCTAGCAGCCCTAGTAGACAGGCATACTCAGATACAATCTGCCAGCCATTACTATTATTATTATGTTAGGGTGTTTGGAAAGTAATTACATTTTAATAGAAATGATTAAAAAAAAAAAAAAAAAAAAACAGTAAGTTAAATTTATTTTAATATTATTTATTAAAAAGGTAATTAACTTCCTTTTTAATGACTGTAGCCTGACAGGAAGACAAATCTTTAATTCTAGTTTTAAAGAAATCTGGGGTACCCCCCACCCAACCAAAAATAAAATATTTGTTTGATTGTTTCCAACTTTTTCTTTGTTTCTGAATGTTCTTTTATTTATTAAATGTTTTTCAGATCAAAACAAATGAAAATCTGGAGGTGCTAAATCTGGAGGTTCCTCCAGAACCTCCCCCTAAAACAATTTTGTTTTCTTTTGTGTTTGTTTTGCAGTGTTCTTAAATTGTCATGTTGGAGAATAACACTTTCTCTATACCAAAGAAAGACACTTAATATATGTAAACAAAAACAGACAAACATTTAAGTTTGAAGTGAAGCTTTATTCAATGCAATTTGACTCCTGCCCATAAGTGAAGTTTGGCCATTTCTTTCATAATTGTGTATTTTGAGACTTGCAGCCATATCATGTTGAAACACCAGTTCTTATATGATCACTGAAGTTACGCAACGTCAAGCCAGTACCAGTACCTAGATATTTGACCACTTGAGAGCCCCAGGTGCTATTAACTTGGATGTGTGGGTGGTGTAATGGATAATGGCTCAGAACCAAGTTCCAATTCCAGTTGAGTTTGTTATATTCACTTATGCACAAATACCCTTGGAAAAAGTATAAAACAAACTCTTCTCCTCCCAGCTATGGGTTAATTAGTAGAACTTGTATCAGTAAATCATTATTATCTCCAAAAATTTCTTACAATCTAAAATTATTTTCTTGTTTTAAACAAGCTGCAGAGGTTGATAAGCCATAAAATACAAATCAATCAATCAAGTAGTTTGAATGGAAGACAACTGTGATTGTGATTTTTGACATATAACAGTTATAAGCACAATTTGTAAACTATGTCAATATGAGAAACAGGCAAATGACATTCCTGGATCAAAAAAATCTTTTTAACAAAAATCCAAAATTTTAAGCCCTTGCCCTCATATAAAAAATTCTTATTAACTGAATATGAAGCTGGTTAAAAAACTAATTCAAAACCTCACAATTACTTGATAGCCTCCCCAGCCTCTGTAACAATTACGTTATGTATTTGCTTTCCCTCCTTTACTGTTTACATGTACAATACACTTGCATTCCCTGTTCCTTTCCATTCATTTTTTATTCAACCTTCCTTTTCCCATTCCATTACAATGTCCTGCCTTTCAATCATCATAAGCCCGTTATTGTTTTTTTTAAAGATAATTATGCAGCGTTCATTGTGGTTTTTTGTAATAAAGTGTTAAAGTGGTCATTTCAACAATATCGCCCAAAGAGACTGTCAAGTCAAAACCATGGTTGTGTATTTTAATTGACCTCCTGATTTTTAAAGTATATAATTTTTATTTTAAGAGATTATAATAAAAACATGTTGAAATCACTACACAAAAGCTTTCATGTTTCAATACTATAATTGTATTTTTTCAAGCAATGGTAAATTTAACATCACCTGAAGAAATACAATCATAGTATTGAAACATGAAAGCTTTTGTGTAGCAATTTCAATATGTTTTTATTATAATCTCTTATAATAATAATATATTGCTCTACTTTGTACTGAGCACTTTTTTAAAAGTAAATGCTATGAACAGTGGAATTTTACTCCCTTTGTTCTTTCTCTAATTTTATATATATATATATATATATATATATATATATATATATATATATATATATATATATGAGAAGAAAAACTGATTTTAAAAAAATTGTCCAAATCGTGTAACAGCATGGGATAATTGTCCATCCCACAAAATGTTTAATATCTAAAAAAAAAAAAAAACAATAAACTAATTGAGATTCTTTTTTCCAGGTTTCCAGAAAAGATAGCCTTCTTGACACCATTTTTCGTAAAAATCTGAAAAATTCTTTGAGTTATTCAGTTAGAAAGAGAACAGGTTAAAATCGTTTTGCACCAGACCCATTATGTTTTCTCAACTGAGTAATGGTGAAAGATAAAAGATCATTCAGGCCTTCTTATGGTAGCAACATTCATACTCTGGCTTCCATCTTCAAATTCCATTCAAGAACCATCAAGAGAATGGTGAATAAGTTTAAAAAAGAGGGAATGGTAGAGAGGAAAACTGGATCAGGAGGTCACAACAGGAAGAGGGATCATCATTTCAACTTAGAGCTAATGAGATCAATTAGAAAAGAGCCAACTCCATTTATAAGATGCTTGGCATGGGAAAGAGGAGTTTCAGCTATGACAGTCCAAAGAGCAGTGAAAAAAGACTTGAAAATGAAATCATACGTGAAACCTGTGAGGCACCCTGTTAATCCAGGACAGAAAGTTAGACGGTTAGAGAGGGCGAAGATCATCTTGAATAAGTTGGAAAATGATCCTGGAATAATATATATATATTTGAACTTTATTTCAATCCTTCATGAGCTTCCGATCCTTAGCTCTGATTAACTGATGATGAACATATAATTTTCATTTATGATCGATTTCATCACAATTCTTCAGTTAAGCTTGGAGAGTAATTATACATTTTTATTGCTCAAAGTAGAATCCAATAGTGTTATAAAAACCTCTAGAATTCCAGTAAGATATTTTTAATCATTTCTAAGATACAACGGTTCAAAGCTTAATCTAACAATTGGACAATTTTGTTGTTACACGATTTGTACAATTTTGCAGTTACACCTAGTATAATAAACTGATTTCATTACACTTTTGTATAAAATAGTACCATAACCTATATACATGGGTAACATTCACATACACACATGGATAAATGAATGAATATATGCATCCTCAGCCCATTGTAGATAAATAAATAAAACTAGGCAAAAGTAAAGAGTTATTTCCCTTTAGATATATTTGCATGCTTTTAGGCCATTTGTATGTTTTTAATAATGTCACTGGTGAATCTTATCTACTGTTTGATGTATACTTTAATGCTTTGCAGCCCTTGGTGGACAATTTTCACCTTTATTGTCATGTACTCAATTAACATACTGTATACAATTATCAAAAGAATATATAAATGTTTATTTTCAGTAACTATTGGTAAATAATAAAACTTTTTGCATCTGAGTCAAAGTCTAATGTCTTGATTTTTGTAAATGTCATTTTTTATATAATTTCTTTAATTTACATACTCTTCATGTTTTTCTTATTTTTAAATGAAATTCTTTTAATTTCTTTAATTTAAATTCTTTTAATCTTGGAAAAAGATGTCTTCCATTTTAAAGTTTTTAATTCCTTTTCACATAAACTTTATTTTAATTTTTAAGAATAAGAATGTCTTCTTTCTTTTTCCTTTTAAATTATTTTTTTTTATTTTTAGTTTAAATACTTTAATTCTTTTGCTTTTTCAGAATCTCTCTTTTTTAATTCAAATGCTTTCTTTTTTTTTTTTTTTCATAACTCTTTTTATAACTTAAATACTTTGAATTTTTTTATTTTTGGAGAATGACCTTTTTTTTTAATTTAAATCCATTAATTCTTTTAATTTAAATTCTTTTCCTTTTTGTGAATGTCCTCTTCTCTTTTTTATTTAAATCCTTTTAATTCTTTTAAATTAAGTTCTCTTTATTTTTTTGAATTTAAATACTTTAATTATTTTTTTATTTAAATTCTTTCAGTTTTTGAGGATGTCCACTTCTATTTCAAATTCAAATTCTTTAATTCTTTTTATTTCAGAGAATGTTCTCAATGTCATATGAATTCAAGTGAGAATTAGTCTCATTTTAAGACATGTAACTCTAAATCTCCTTGGCAGGATGGCATTAACTTGTTGGGTTTTTCTGTTTTCCATTTGTTGCAGAAAAGCAATTTTCTCATGACATCTTTGTAGTTCTGTGATTTTGCAGGAAGTAAATATGTGTACCTATGTTCTATAAGGTGATTGATTTTTTTTCTTTTCTAAAATAAGTTCTTCCATTTTAGATAAAATTGATTCATAAGTTTTTTGCTGAATATCAAGTGGCATAAGGTTGATCTCGCCAGCACGCAGACGTCTTTGAAACAGTTTTAGCTGAAAAAATAATAATAAAGTATAACAATTAAAAATATAATAAGGCTATTCTGTCATTAATAATTGGATTAATGTCAGATCAGTGAAAAGCCCATTCAAAGCATTTACATAGAAAGAGAAATTTCAATGCAATTTTGTAGTAAAATAATTTGTAACGCATTTTCATAGCAAAATCATTTGCAACACATTTTTATAGCAAAATAATTTGTAACGCATTTTTATAGCAAAATCATTTGCAACACATTTTTATAGCAAAATAATTCGTAATGCATTTTCATAACACAATCATTTGCAACGCATTTTCATAGCAAAATAATTTGTAATGCATTTTCATAACAATCATTTGCAACACATTTTCATAGCAAAATAATTCATAATGCATTTTCATAGTAAAATAATTTCTAATGCATTTTCATAGCAAAATAATTTCTAATACATTTTCATAGCAAAATAATTTCTAATGCATTTGCATATTAAAAACTAATTTACCATGCATTTTAATAGCAAAATAATTTGTCAAGTATTTATATAGTATATTAAATATAAATTCTCTGGATTGTTTTGATTTATCTCTAAGCTAATTGTATATGTAGGTAGTGTATTGGTCAATGAGCCCCACATTACCTATTGATTAAATAACAGAGCTGAATGGGTTCTCTTGCTTTGATGTGGCAACCAATTGAATTCAGAGGAAATCTCTGAATTCAAAACCAGCCTACAGATGAATGGACTATCTTGCCCAAGAAATATCACTTTTGCAATATCTATAGTACATGTGTCCCCCCCCACACACACACACTCACACCTTACAGTATTCATGATATGATATACTGATCACTTAATTAAAAGTGGGATATCTCTTGACTTATATGATTTCAATTTAAAATACATGATATTCAAGTTCAGTTATTTTATTTTCATAGTCTGAGCTATTTATTTTTTAACACTTAGCACTCTGCATCATTTATAAATATTACTTCCCTTTTTATTGTATGGAATCCCATCAAAATATAATATTTTATATATTAGTTCTATATATTTCAAATTGCAGTATCCTGGCTCTCATTTTCAGTCAAGATTGTTTTAGATGTTACCATAGGATATTTTATTGTGAAAACATTAACTTGTCTAATAAAACTTATATAACATCTATTTCATAATGATTAACTTTATGCATTGTTGAAATTCATGGCAGATCAGTATATTTTTTGTTTTAGTTTAAGGTTTTATTAAAAATATCCATAAAAATCTACAAATAATGCTTAATTAATTTGATGGCCCTGATGTTTTTTACAGTTGACTTTTTTGCATTCTTTTTGCTCATCTACCACCTGTGACTTTATAAACAAAGTAAAATAATGACTATTTTTTTTATTGATTTCGGATTTAAAAACAAAACAAGCTCTAAATATTTTACCTAGAATTTTATTCCAGTATGAAAAAAAGTTTCTTTTAGCTAGAAAATGATTCATTCTGACTGTTAAATTATTAAATTTCTAAGTTAAACAAAATATTTTATTAAAATTTAGCACTCTGCATCATTTATAAATATTACTTCCCCTTTTGCTGTATATGGAATCCCTTCAAAATATAGTGTTATATATATAAGTTCTATATATTTGAAATTGCAGTAGCCTGGCTCTCAAATTCAGTCAAGATTGTTTTAGGTGTTGCCATAGAAGAATATGACTACACAACCAAGAAATTCAAATTCAACTTGTATTGGCAGGACTAACATTTTGTTTGTTGAAAATAGTCACATACAGAGTGCTAAAGGTTAAAAAGGAGAGTCTTGTGTCAATTATTTGGTGAAAATGAATTTGTGGCAGACTTCACCACATTAATTTAACTTAGATTAGGAAACCAAACTGATGTGAAGAAAAAGAGGATAATCCAAAGACATGATTACACATAAAATTTGTATTTAACAAGATGTACAAACAAGGATGTGGAAGAAAAGTATGCATTGAGTAAAACAAGAGTTGTCTCTCTTTAACTATTAATTGTTCCAAAGTTCACTGAAAGAAATAAGGTTGTAATAGTTTCTGGTAATAAATGTTTTCAACAGTTTTGCTGTGTAAGAAAAAAAGATTATGTGACTATAGGGAATATTCAGCATGTGAGTGAGAAGATTGGCGCATGGTTTCAACTGTTGTAGATTTCTGTGGCACCTGAAATCTCACAGGTTTACTAAGAATTTTCTTTGTTTGTATAGGTGATTATCGGCTCTGAAAGCACTGCAACAGGAAAAATCACTCTTCATATGCAGACAATCTGATTGGTTGGCATTGACCAATCAGCAAGTGAGCTTTGGGAAGACTCACAAAAAGCTTCTGGGATCCGATTCTCCCAAAAGTGCACAAAATCAACTACATGAAAATATAGCGATCATAAAATTGTCGCATTACACAGTAGTGTAAATTTACTATCCAACGAATGCTTGTTGTTGTATAATTTGAATTTGCATAAGTATGTATGTATGTGTGTGATGATGATGATCGTCACAAGTTCACAACACTGTTTATGACAAATCAGTAAACCTACCTCAGTTTTTTTGATGTCATCAATATAGTCTTGTATGTGAGATTTTATTTGTGCAAGCTCTTCATCCAAAAATAAAGCAGCTGCTGCAAAGAATATTGTTAAATTTTTAAACATTTATAGATGCCAGTACCATAGTGGAAAGTTCTTCCAAAGAATTGCCATAAAAGGTATTTATAGAAAAGGCACAGGGAAGCTACATTACAGCGGTAAGAAAGTGACTGAAGCGATCAGCTCAGAACCAATTAACAATTCTATTAAGAATCTCTAGATATACAACAGTAACACTGGATCATATGTAGCAGCAATATTCAAGACATGGATGAATGATAGACTGATAAATTCAGGAGAGAAAAATTGTCTAGAATGACACAGTGAACCCACTTTCTTAGCAGCTGACCTAGCAATGGATTCAATATAGTCTTTCTGCTTCATGTCAGCCAAGAATGTAAACCCAAGATAGCGTAATGAGTCACTTTCATGGAGATTAGTATCAGCCATTCTGATGGAAGGCAGGAGTCTAAATAGTTTTAGGTATGTCCTTGAATTAAAATATACATGCACACAGTGGCATAACCAGAGTGTGTGCAGCCTGGGCCAATCCTTGAGTTTGCCACCCCCTCATACATAGTGTACATCATACAGTGACTTGCTCTTAAAGTTATAAAACTAGTTTGTGTACCATTATAATATTACTTTTACATACTCAAATATACTAGTATGCTTTAAATACACACAAAGCATAAACTTTATCAGAAAAAGTTAAAAATCAAAAACAATATACGGGGACTGGGGGAGTGTAAGAAATGAGGGCCATCTTTATTTCTGAATGAAAATTACAGTGATCCCTTGTTTATCGCAGTAGATTGGTTCCGAGACCGGCCGTGATAACTGAATTTCCATGAAGTAGGTACACCATATTTACAGTATTTATTTAACGTGTATTTGGACTTTTAAAACCCTCCCTGTACTGTTAACAACTCACTGATTACAGTACTCTGTTAATAACAAGCACAACTGTTAAGCAATAACACATTAGATTAAAAAAAAAATAAAGATTGTTACTGTATTCAACATGAAAGAAGTTGAAGTAGAGTTTGAATGATGATGATGATGAATTTGTTGCGCAGTAGAAATGATGATGAAGCTGATGATGACTTCTACTGTGCAGCCGATAATTGTATCTTACGTTTCTTCAGACAGCGGTGCCTTTTCTATTGATATTTTACACTTTTTTTGTTGTTCCTAGACCAGGAAATAATATTTATTATTAATATTTTAATGGGTTTAATGAAAAATTTTAGGTGTTCATACGTCGCGATTTTTCTAGAATTTTCCAGAAACTCCACAATATATTTTCCATATATATATTTTAAAAATCCGCGAAATCGTGAATCCGCGATAGTAGAACCACGAATTAGCGAGGGATCACTGTACACCTTTCTATAAAGTAACTTTTCTTGCTTTTTGTTGGAAAGTTCTTCAATGACAAAAACTATTTCATCTGTCAATTGTTGCTTTACAGACTATAGAAAGGACAATATATGACATAGTTTATATTACTCAAAATTGAAAAGATCCTTCAATTGTGAGTACTGGCACCTCCGACATTAAAACCACTTTTATTTCAATACCACCTATGCATGCTTATAGGCCTACAGCAGACACAAAAGTGCTGGCCTTGTAAAAATGAACCCAGTGGGGAAGAGGGGGCTATGCCCACACTAGCTATGCCACTGCATGCACACACAATTTGAATGAAGTTGAAACAGACATCTGTATTTCAGAAGCTAATTTCCCTTTCTGTCTGGTAACGTGAAGAGTATAAGCCAGATCTTGGAAGTTGTTTTTATGACTCCTCTTGTATTTAAACTGAATATATCCTTAAATCTATATATATGTAAAATATATATATATATATATATATATATATATATATATATGCAATTTTTTATATATCTATTATTTATATATGCACAGTACTTATTGGAAAGTGTTCAATATCAGTGATATCCAACTAAAATTAGTTTGTCTGTTTACTTATTTTTATCATAATCCTGTCATATTCACAAATATTTTTTCCATATATTACAATTAAATAAGGCAAGAAACACCAATCCAACTTCAAAAAAAAAAAATATATATATATATATATATATATATATATATATATATATATATGATTGAAACATTATGTTTACTTATTTTTATCATAATCCTGTCATATTCACAAATATTTTTTCCATATATTACAATTAAATAAGGCAAGAAATGCACTGTAACAGTGATAATCACTTTTATCTCCCAAGTATTTTTTCCTTTCCAACTCCTTAAAAAAAAAAAAAAAAATATATATATATATATATATATATATATGTCTTTTTTGTGTGTAACAATTGAGGAGCTGTGTGTAAAATTTTGACATGAGACACACTGAAGTCAAGACCCCCATTCATGTCCACACGCAAAAAGCTACCTTGCTGAAAACTACAAAGAGACTGCCCCAAACAACAGTGACACAGTTCACAGTAAGAACTAAATTCTATCTTTTGTATCCCCTGTTACTACTAAGAAGCATGCACACATGTACTGACACTTTTAGACAAACAATGACCCACCCGGCCAAATTCAAGTTATATTTGTTTTTGAAAAGAATAAAAATAAACGTAACAACATTTCACCATTTCTCACTTAAGTACATAAATTATATTTATTTATTTCTTCTTAATTGGCCCTAAAAAGGAAATAAATTACAGTTAAATTTGTAAAATAAATATTCAACATGACTAATGTTGCCCATAACTTATGTCTATCTCTCATTATTTTTATTTAACTAAAGTTATTTTTTTCTTTCCAAAAACAAATATAACTTAAATTTGGGTGGGTGGGTCATCATTATTTTGCATATTTCCCCTCAGTTGTTAAGACTACAAGCGGAACTCTTTTTATGACTTTTTCTGTATTTAAACTGAAATTTGATCATCTAGCAATAAGCAAGCAACAGGTACAAAAACTTGTTTATATATGAAGCAAACAAAATTGTAATTTTACCCAAGATACTTACTTGGAACGATCGCTGATTTTATTTTGTTTTGATAATCCCTGATGAATTGTTTCACAACAGACCTTCTCGTTTGTGTAAAAGATGATCTGGATATGGGAACTCTTGTCATTGTGTCTTGACTTTGAGGGCTTAAAGGGAAAGAAATGCTTTTAATTTTATATTTCAAACAATTTTAAATGCCTTCTAACTGAAAAAAGTGGAAAAAAAACTGAAAAAAAAAAACCTTTAAATCATTTAAAATCAAGGTTAGAATATTATCGGATTTTGAATATTATGGGATTTTGAATTTTTCAAAATCCAATTCTATTTGCAGAATGAAATATATGAATATATGAATGTATGTATGAATATATGAATATATGTATGTATGTATATATGAATATATGTATGTATGTATATATGAATGTATGTATGTATGTATATATGAATGTATGTATGTATGTATATATGAATGTATGTATGTATGTATATATGAATGTATGTATGTATGTATGAATATATGAATGTAACAATTTTTGTGAGCACCACATGCTTATGTCATGGTGTCTGTGTTTAATTCATGGAATGTTAATGTAATTTTTGTATAAAAAAAGGCTGGATATATTAATGTATTTTAATTGTATAATAAATATGATTAGAGATTATGAAGATCTCTGGAATTTTATTAATTTCTCTCAGGTTTTCATTTCCATCTAGAATATGGTTGACAGACGTTCTCTCTTATATACTGGATATGTCCTGTATTAGATAATTTTCTCCCCTGTCTCATACTGACCTTTCAAAGACACACCCAAACATCCCATAGTTTATTCATTTTCAAATATTGTAATAAAAATATATATTTACTACCTTCTTATTTTATAAGTAATTATGCTTTCTTTTCACAGATTCTCTTGACAAAAATAAACTCAAATGTAACGAGGAAATTACTGTTGCTAGAAGTTTCCACAATACTGATGTGTTTATTTCTCTGCTGTATTAAATAAATATTTTCAAATGATTTCACTTTTACACAATTTCTTTTTCTTAGTTTGTATTAAATAATTTTCAAAGGATTTTACTTTTATTTTCCTCATAACCCATTAAAATAATTGTTTTATGTTTTTAACTTATATCTCTCCCTTTATACAATGTATTGATCTGAGTGTGTAGTTATGTATAAACTCATATATATATATATATATATATATATATATATATTAGTAAAAGAGATTCCCCATATGAGGTGACTTTGGATTTTATTGTTTATAAGAAAGAGAGAGATTTTAAGAGTGTCCCGTATTTCTAATTTTCTAATCTGACAACCCTAATCTGGAATCATCTTCAGGGGAAGTAACCAGTGGCAAAAAGTTTGCTTCACAATTTGCCTTTCTATGTTAGGTGTGCCTATCATCAGCCTTTTAATCCATTGATTTTTGATATTCTATGATTTTCATTGGTTTCTTTTAATGCTTATTAATTCTTGCGACTTCTAAAGATTGAACAAGCTTGATATGTGCCTTGTGTGTCCTGTACATCAATAAATATGATAAATGTTGGAAGTGAATATAATGATGGATGTGACTCCATTTTGTGTAATGTCATCACTTAATTTATTCTCAAATATGGGCAGTGCAGTCATGGATTTTTAGTTTTGCTAGGGCTTTACATTCTCTTGGATAGATGCAGTAACATTGGACACCTATTGCAGTTGCAGTAGTTGTTATATTAATATTTTAATGGATTTTCAACATATGACATCTTTGATGATTTTGAGACCACCATATGTAAGCACCTTCATACCCGATATAAAGTGCCTCCAGCACCTTGAGGTGAAATAACAAGTTCGACTGGGACAACACAGTGAACCAATCAGCACTGAAATTAGCAGCACACCCTCTGTTATTTAAGAAGTGCTCACATATGGCAGAACCATAGGTATTTGGGACACGTCCATTCAAAGATGATTCCTGATCTTAGTGGGAATATGTTGTTTAATTCTCATGTCCAGGCATTGAGTCGTTCTCCCTATGTAGTCAGCACCACAAGTAAAATTATATTTGTAAACAATAGAATTAATTTGATGTAATCCTTACACCCCAAACGAAACATAGGCATGGTTTTGTTATATGTGAGCACCTCTTAAATAACAGAGGGCGTGCTGCTAATTTCAGTGCTGATTGGTTCACTGTTCTGTCCCGGTCACACTCATTATTTCACCTCAAGGTGTTGGAGGCACTTTATATCGGGTCCCCCAAGCCTTTCCTGTGTAAACAGCATGAATGTTTATTGGGGCTCACTGTTATTTGTCTTTAGCTCCTTGTGTTCATATTTTTTTTTGTCCCCACTTTTCCTTCTCATTGCCCATTTTCTAGTGTTTAAATTTAAGTTAAATCTCCCATGGATGCCTGAAGAGCAGGAGAAACTGGTTGCTTTGCTTTTAAAATGTTTAGTAATATTAAGCTTCACACTTTTATTTCTGTAATTAGATTTTGTACCTTCAAAAATATTTTCAAATATATATATATATAAATATATATATATATATATATATATATATATATGTGTGTGTGTTTTAGGCACTAGTCAAATGACTTAAGCCAAGCAACTGGCCAATGTTTGTCAATATTTCTCCCTTTTCAGAACATTTAACCATGTCTAATTTCCCTTTCATGGTGATGTTGGTATAATCTGGCAAATAGATGTATAGATATCTCCACTATCTACCTTTGACTCCCCACTGATTCAGGTCGTGGGACACAAGGTCAGATTTTTTTGTTAACATGGGGAACCCAAGTGTCTCTACTCAGGCCACTGATAAATTTCTTGTCTTAACTAGTCATAGTCAGTCAAAATCCATGCTATGGAACAGATCCGAGAATTCTGTCCAAGCAGGATGGTGGGGGCAGCATGGAACAGATACTACAACAGCATCTCCTCCGCCCCAGGCAGCTACCTCCCAACAAATAGCTTAGATGTGGCACAAGGCTGAAAGCAGGGGGTACCCAGTGAGGATCGAACTCACTACTCAGTCGTAATTGTTCTGGCGTGACAGGTTTGCTAACCATTACACCGCCTCAAGGTGCCCCCCCCCAAAAAAAAAATGTATAGATATCTCCAATAGAAAAATCATGTTTATATAGAACCCATTTCAACTGCAGGTGGAACAGGTCAACTTATAAAAAGCCAAAGTTTACATTAGCTGAAGGCCACGAGTTCAATATTTCTGCTGAGTAGTAAATATACAGGTGTCCATAAAGTCCTTTACAATTTAAAAAATATATTACAAAGACAATTGATGAAATATCTTAGTCAGATTTGTTCTAAGTACGCAGTAGTTATCAAAGTTTTTAATCACATTGCATTTGTATATTTCAGGTATCCTGTTGATGAAAGAGGTACTGTTAAATGAACCCCTAACATTTTCAGACTGGTGGATTGGAAAGGTATGGCCCAATTCCCTGGCCACCTCATTCACCAGATATCACTCCCCGGGACTTCTTTCTATGGGGTTATGTTATATATATCTTGTATCAAACAAAGATACGGGATATCACTGATCTAAAGCAAAAGATCACTGATGCCATTGCCACCATTGATGAGTCTATGCTACAGCCAACATGGCAAGAAATTGAGTACCATCTCGATGTGCTTTGTGCAACCAATGGTGCCCATATAAAGGGGGATTAAATTAGTTACAAAAAAAAAAAAAAATCCAATATCTATTCCTCATTTTGTAACAATTTCCACATATTTGTCTGTTCATTTGTTTTGCAATAATTTTTTTAAATTGTAGACTTTATGGACACCCTGTACATTTGAGCTATTTAATAACTTAACAGGTGATGGCTTTCCTTTTCTTCGAAGCACTGCCATCAGAATACATTACACTATCCCTGGGAGCTATAATGAAGGGCAATAAGTTTCCACAAACAACTGAAAGAGAATGAATGCACAACAATTCAGTTACTCAGCAGTAATACAAAGTGTTAGAGAAAAACAATCCCAACAACAAATTGCAATATGAGCTCTGTTAAAAAAATTAAAACTGAGACATTAAGTTTATAAGTCTCAATAATTCTTACACTGATGTCTGCAAGGACACATGGTGGATAAAAGCATTGGTTGAAGTAATTCAGTGACTTGACCCAAAGAGTTGTGAGTTCAATCCCTGGCCACAGCAGAGGTGAACAAAAACTTGGAGGGTTGCATTACTAAAGGGAGATAACTGAAACTGAGATATTCAGAAAAGGCATGTCATGTGGAACTAGAACAATCTGCCTTGGTGGATGGAATAAAGGGTTCATTTTGAAATTCCAACATATATCACTTGAAATAGGTCAGCAGGTACAACGGCTGAAATGTCATGAATATGACAATAAAGATGAGGACAATAGTCGAAACAATGTAAATAGTCACAATACCTCATCTCAGAAATATAGACAGATAGTCTTAAGTTATTTAAATCTCTTAGATGAAGAATTGTCATTATTATTAATTTTTTACTAATTTTTCTTTCATTTTATTTCTTTTGCTTGTTTACACATAATAGTAGTAATAGATGTAATAGTCTTGTTTGAATCTTGCAGATGAAGTATTGTCATTTTTTCTGACTAGTTCTTCTTTCATCTTAATATTGTTGCCTTTTTACATCTAGTAGTTTCTTAGATGAAGCACTGTCATATTTCCACATCTATCACAATTAAAAAAACTACGTTATATTTTAATTTTCAATTCTATATCGAATTGGAGCATTTCTTTCAGTAAAATATTTACTGAATGTATTTTTTGTACATCAAATTATTTTTTTTTAAAAAGTTGTTGCTTTTTGAACAATGTAAAGGGAAAAAAAATGGAATAATTAAACTAAGAAATTAATATTTTTGCATACTTGTAAACTGCACTACTTACGGTAAAGCAAGAGTTTCAATTGGCGTTGATATTCTGGGTGTCACCTGCTAAAGGATAAAAGTTAAAGGATGTTACAATAGCAAATATTTTGAGAATTAAAAAAATTTTAATGGGCTTAAAACTACAATTATATATTTAATAGACTTGTCCTATCAGTAACACTTGGCTTGGTTTTGTAGTGAGAGAAAAATAATAATTCCCTTCACCCACTCCCTTCAAATTTGGAAGACTGAGGAAGAAGAAAAAAAGGAATTTGTGAGCCTATGTGAAATTTTCTTTGGACCAATGAAAACCTTGCCTTTACAGAAATTAGCTGGTCAGCTGAGAAGAAAATTTACAACCCTACATGAAATTCCTTGATATAAAATGAAGAAAAAAATTAGTAAGAGAAGAGCGTCTGAAGTCATATGAGAGGTATCATTTCAGTTCCTCCAGATCTGCATTGAAGTTCTTGACATTGTAAAATAATTCACCAATTATATTATTGGCCTCTAACCAGCATGCAGAAATTATTTCAAACTCTCTCTTCATCTATATTTGAACATATACAACCGTTATCCCTTCTGTGAGCAACAACCTCTCTAACCTTTGTTTTAAACAGTTTTTTTATATTATTTTGTGTCAGATCATTTAATTTGTTGTATGAAGATTTCCTCTTCATAACAATTCAGTAAAACTATAGACTTTAAGAATTCTGATTTATTTTCCTTTATTGAGTTCCTGACACTACTTCAGTTACGTAAATCTTACTTATTATAAAACGCAGATTGTGTGTGTGTGTGTGTGTGTGTGTGTGTGTGTACGTTTATATATTGGGTCGGATTTCCTACATTTTTCAACCGATTTCAACAAAACTTCACAGGACTGCGTAAAATTACCTTGCGGTTGTTCTGACAGCACCAAAAGTTGGAAAAACAAAATTGTTTTTGCACGAAATCAATTTGAAAACATAATAAAACACGATTCTGTTGCCAGAATGAAAGGGGGACAACTCATATCAAGTTATACTTATAAAAACCTAGGTTGTTTGTGTGTGTGTGTGTGTGTGTGTGTGTGTGTTCGTTTATATATGGGATCGGATTTCCTACATTTTTCAACCGATTTCAACAAAACTTCACTTTTTTTTGGCAGGTAGTGTTTCTTATTGTCTTGCACACTTTTTTCTTTATTTTTACATTCAGAATGCTTTAAAAATTCCATTTACAAGACAATTGTTTATAATAAAATTCCATTCAATCGGTAGACTCATAACGATTGAAAATAATGTTTTTGTTCGAGTTTGACCAATTTGTAAAAAAAAAACAAAAAAAAACTAATTAAGACATGCGTATACATCAACCTTAAACAATAATCTTTGTCAATTTTATTTTTCAGTCTTTATGATGGTCGATACTTGATCTACCTCTTACTGTTACATCCCTGGACAACGCCGGGCTCTCCTGCTAGTTTGTGAATAAATTCCTTATCTTATTTTGTTAAAATGACCCACGTGTTTACTTGTCATTATCATCCTTTATTAATCTTCTTGGCATTGGTAATTGTTCATTTTAACCCCAAAGGCCCACACCACTACAGTTCTTTACAAAGGACACTTCTTTCCTTCCATTACTTACAATAGTGTAAAGGTCAGTGGTTCTGACTGAATCATATTAGTTTATGAACTACAGAGTATTCATAAAGTCTCTTTACAATTTAAAAAATATATTACAAAGGTAATCAATGACATATCTTAATCAGATTTGTTCTATGTACTCAGTAGTTATCAAAGTTTTTAATCACATTGCATTTGTATATTTCAGGTATCCTGTTGATGAAAGAGGTACTCTTAAATGAACCCCTAACATTTCCAGACCAGTGGATTGGAAGGGATGGTCCAATTCTCTGGCCATCTCATTCACTTGATATCATTTCCCTGAACTTCTTTCTATGGGGTTATGTTAAAGAAATCATGTATCAAACAAAGATACAGGATATCACTGATCAAAAGCAAAATATCACAGTTCATTTCTATAGTAAAATCATTTGCACAAATATTACAAAAAGAATATTGTTATTATATGAATAACATGCATACATTACAGTGCATTTCTATAGTAAAAACATTTGCAATGAATTTACATTTTCCATATAATAATTTTATTCTCTTAACATTTTTTACATTCTTAACCACTGACAATAATTCTTCTTTGCAATGCATTTCTATAGTAAATCATATACAATTTATTCCTATAGTAAAACTATTAGCAATGCATTTGTGTTATGTATAACCATATTCTTTTAATAATGGCTGCATTAACTCCCAATTATTCTTCCTTATTTACAATTATTCTGAAAAATATTAGCAGTGCATTTTTATTGCAAATTCCTATATAATAATTTTATTCTGTCAATATTTCTGTAGTGGCTTTTCTATACACAACTTTAATAATTTCATTAGCTATGGTATCCTTTAGCTTTTTTACTCTCACCAATACTGCGAAAGACCTAATCCAGGTTTCTACATATTCTGGATCCTCCATCGTGGTTAAGTAACCAATCGGCAACACCATATTGTTATGATAGGTATTCTCTCTGACAGATGTAGTCTTATCAAGAGAAGATAACTCTCCTGTAGGTATAGCAATACTGCCTTTTATACAGTACCTCATTTATATATGTGTATATATAGGAAAAGGCGTTAACAATGCATTACTATAGGAGAATGTTGGTAAAAATGTAACAAAATTCAAATTTTTCTCTCCTGAAAAAATATTTAGCTTGTACAAAAAAAAAAAGAATAAAGCTATTCATGGAAAATAAGGAAATGGGCATGTATAAGAAGAGCCAAAATCTACATAGACTGGACTTATATATACTGTGTTTAAATGCAATTGGTGCAGCATTTCCTTCCTTGTTAAAGCACTTAATTCAATGGTAAATATTAATCACATAGATTGAACATTATACAGAGAATGAATGGATCAAGTTCAACCGTAATCAGGATTATTGAGTCAATAACAATTCCACAATCTTTGCCTTAGCTACATAATATATGCTTCACCAGGCCTACATGTTTTCTACTAGACCAGTTGCCAAGCAAGGCTATAGGACCCAGTCTTTCCTGATATTTACACATAGTTTGGGGGGGGGCAAAGAAGAGATAGATCTATACCTTTTCTAAGGGTATTTGCATGTAAATGAATACAACTCAGCTCTCTGATTCCTTAATCCAAGCCGTTATCCATTACACAACCATGCTTCCAAATTATACAGTGAAAAATTCAAAATTCAGCAAATAACTATGTGTCAGGCTTTTTGATCCACCCCTGTATAAGTAATCATTAGAGGAAACAAAAGTTTTGATATATTAGTCTAACAAATTCTATCCCAAGATGGTTTACATTAAATTGCTTGTTTACATATATTAAGTATATAGCAAAAGCAAAAGCATTGTTTTCTTTTGTAAAGGATATTAATATATTGATTTTTAATGTCAAGAACACCTGTGCTACCTTAATATATCATTGTAAACTCAGATAAAAGAAACATAATAGTTGAATATTGATCTCAATCACCACTGAAATGCACTTTCATCAAATATCCATCTGTCACAATATAAACTGTAAATCACAGAACAAAACTAACACATTTAAAATCAGTACCGACCAAATGATAATAATGATTTTCTTTTTTTCAGTTACGAATCACATTCAGACTTAATAAAAAAAGAATGTTTTGACAAAAAAAATTAATATTTTTCAATTATTATTACATTATATTACATTAGTATTACTTTATTTTATATATAACTAGATTACTATTACATTATATATATTTTTGCATTATATTACAATTACATTAGTATATTATATATATTACATTACACAATTTTTTGTATTCATTATATTACATTATGATTATTACATTATTATTATTGATATATATATTATTACATTATTATTACTACATTACATTATTATTATATTACATTAAATTATTACATTATATATAATAATAAAGCAATATAATGTAATAATGTAATATATATATATATATATATATATATATATATATATAATTACATATTACATTATTATTACATTATATTGCTTTTATTATTATTACATTAAATTATATATATTATTACATTATATTACATTATTATTATTACTACATGTTATTACATAATATTATATATATTATTACATTATTATAACATTAATATTGCTTAACATTATTTACCAATATGCATAGATAAAGTGGCAAACCTCTAATAGATTGACAAAATTTTTTTATTGTTCAAGTAATAGAAGGCTTAAGAGCCATGCAAGGTAAAAGATTAATGAATAGAAATGTTATAAGGACTCATAGGAAGGGAGCAAGGGCTGCATATTATAGTATACATAATGTCATTATTTTCTCTTTGAGTCGTAATTTATTCTTTGTTATTGTTGGTTGATTTGGTTTAGCAGCATATCAACCTTTATGGATTATCTAATGCTGAAATTTACATATTTTGAACGCAATTGTATGCCTTCAACTACAGATAAAATGTATTGTTGGTCATTTTGCTTTAAAAATGTACTGCTAGTCATTTTACTATAAATATGTATTCTTGGTCATTTTTTTTATATAAATATTTTTTTATATAAAAATGTATTTTTTATACTTTCATAGTGTTTTGTTTTTGTTTGGGGGTTCACTATTTTCCCTATACATTGCACCCTAACAGGTGCTACCACCCTGGGTCATGGTGGACCTGGGAACAACAGCAATTAAGATGTAATTCCACATTCCTAAAAACTCCTGATCACAGGCCTTGTTTCCGAATGTAGTTTATCGTCACACCCAGGAATCTTTGTTATTGTCATTCAGAGGGTAACAACTCAAAAATGTATAGTATAATATTTCAGGGGTAATTCAGGTGAGAGTACCAAAATTGTATTTGACCTCAGGTGCTGATAACCTTTGCTATGCCACTGACAGGTCTCAACAATGCTAGATTAATGATTGTCATCTTGTATATATTTTCAAGGTTTTTTTTTGTTTCAGAATCTTTGATACTTAATAGAATAAGGAACAACGAAGAAACATTTATAAATGCCACCCTAATTAGAAAAGAACATAATTATTTATGCAGGAAATACTTTGAGGGAGTTCTGATAAATATTTTGTTGTCAAACACACTCTATTACCAGTTTTTATAAAATCCATGCTTAAAGAATCTAAGATATGTCTACCTACAACCACAATGGGTGTAACTTAAATTCTTTCACCCTCATACAAAACATTCCAGATCCACATGCAGATAACCACTAAGCATGGATAAAAAAAAGCTTACTAGACACACACACACACATAATAAATACACATTATCATATGAATCCTGCATAAACAAATTATATTTATTATGCATATAGACACATGAATTATGCAAACAACACTGCTTGACAAGACAGAGGCACATGAGTTCTACTGAACCAATGAAACCAAACAATACAAAATTAAAAATAGCAGAATTTTCTTTAAAAATGCCAACTAGACACACATACACACACAAAGGAATATACATTATCCTCCAAATCCCACATAGACAAACCAGGATTATGATACACATACACATGAAGCCTACTCAACCAATGAAAAATGCAAAAATTTGACAAGACAGATGCATATGAAGCCTACTCAACCAATGAAAAATAAACAAAGAAAATAAACAAAAATTAAAAATAGCAGAATTTTCTTTTTCACCTCCATATTTCATTCTCTGATGAAACTTTAATAAAAGCAAAACATGTTAGATTTATAAACATCTCCTATTCGTTCTACTCTCTATCATTTGGCCGCATTCCAATCCATATTTGATGCCAATTTACTTGAGTAATAGTTGTTAAAACAGGATCTTGCTCAATAAACTGAGTGACAACACTTTACCAGACAACTAGAAAAATGTCCACCAAGGAGAAATTTAAATAAACTTAAATAATGCCTAAAGGTTAAATCCACTTTGGCAGGAAGGGAGACAAGACTGCTACTTCCACTTCTTAGAACACATCCATTAAGCTGAGGAGTAGGAGTCTAATATCTTCAGAAATTTGTTAGCCAAGGATGGTGAGTTCAATCCTTGGTTGGACCACAAGAGCCAGCATAGTTAACAATAGAAATAAATGAAAGAAAAACAATGCTTACAGGAACCTGTAACTTGAGCCACGATATTTCCACTTGAAGGGCAGAGATTTTTTCTTCAGATTGGTGTTTTAGGAAAACTTGGGCTTCTTTTTCCTGGAAGAGTAAAAATGTTGTTTAATAAAGAAATTTCAACAAAATTCATTTCAACCTTTTTTCAAAATTAAAATATTAAAATTAAAATCTCAATAAAATCAGTTTTAAACTTTTTTCTTAAATAGTTCCTTATAAATACAAAATTTAATATATATTTATATTTTTACATTTAGAATTAGAAAAAAAAGATTTATTCTTTACACTTGGACTATTATCCTCAACATTTCTGCGATTGTACCCTCTGGCCAATCAATATAGACAGAAGATATATTTAATATTAAATTTTGTGTAATTTTTCTACCTTTTTCTAACTTTTTTATTTTTTATGCCACGAATTATGAAGAAACTGTGTTTGAACGTGCAGATATATTTTAAAGATATCAGGTGAGCTGAATTCAAATTCTGGGCTCATCTCTTGCATTCACTTTTTCACACATGCCATTTGGAAGGACATGAATCCATTTCTTCTTCCCTACTACTAGCTATGTGGGAAATAGCAGTGTAGACTGGGCTCTCTAGCCTTGGATAGTAACTGCTCTCAGAAAATGAAAAACTCTGAATTCAAAGCTATAGAATAGGCAACAGGAAACCACTCCACTGTCATTCTCAACATCTAATGACAATTCACAGGTAATAAAGAGGAAAAGAAATCTGTAGAAAGCTATGATTGCAGATGTCCTGAAGAAAAATATAGGTTACAGTTGGGAAGGTCCAGCATCTACTGCCATACCACTAACATCCATCTCTTATATTTTATGTTTTATAATAAAGTAGGAGGAGTGAACTTTCACATCTTGAATAAATTTTGTCTGTGTGTCCCCACTTTACATCACTACAAGAAAATATCCAAATCCTTATTGGTGTTGTGGAGTTGAAAATGTGTAACCTGGAAGGCAGAACCTTGTTGTTGTTGTTGTGGAGGTTAATTCCTTTTCCAATTGGCAAATGTAAATCCAAGCATCAAACAAAAGAGGACATTGAGTAGGGGTAAATGAATGTATAATTTATTTACATATATATAAAGACTGGTAACTTCTATCTTTTGCCATTTTTAAGACAACACAGAGAGAGAGAGAGAGAGAGAGTGGTGAAATTAAAAGCAAATAGGCACTTAATCAAGCTCACTAAGTATGTAATACATTATTTTCCTCTGTCTCTCTTGCCTTCTGTCTCGTGAGTATCAAATTTTCCAAACCCTCCTTCCTCATTATGTGCCTAGAAACATCAACTGTCTCTTCCTGATGTTACATATTAGCTTCCTTTTTGTTTCCATTTTTCTCCAAAATTTTGTCATTGCTCACCTCTTCAGTCCATGGTATCCTCAGCATCCTTCTGGAGAGTCACATTTTTGTCTCTTCTTCATCTTTGAGGAGATTATCCAGCACTTACTGATTGATTTGTTTAATGGTATATCAACTCCTTATGGGTCATTTAATGCTGAATTTTAATTTTCTTGGGAGCTTTGGAGTAATAAAAGTATTATATGTTATTCTGCTTCCACAGTTGAATACATGGCAGATGATACTCAGCTTTTGTGCATATACATGCCTCTAATTCTTCCACACCCTGTAACCCCTTATGTGGCTTTACTATCTTGCATGCATTGATACCGATTTAAAAATAAAAAAAAAGAAGACAATGATCCTGCTTTATCTCCCGAGGCAAATATAGTGATAATGGGAGGGGAGGCTATGCTGATGACATTGGTATTCAAAAAAAACTACAAAATAAAACAAGCATATCACTACTTCTAGTAATTATACTCACACAAGCATAGGTACTCACAGTTTGGATAAGATTGATCTTGAACAAAAAATCAACATTCTCTTCTAAGCATTCCAAGAAACAGGAATCAAGATAAACCATTCCAAAACAGAATTTATGTTTTAATGGCATTACTACCTTGCTTGGGGTGATTCCAATTAAAAAAATAAAGTTATTGCATTTTGTTTGGGCCAGAGCATACTGCCACTGGACCAGAAATAAATTTGGTCTACTTTTACTAGTACCTTATCTTTCAGTCATCAGTTTAACATTTATTGTTGAAAATTGTGAGAGGGGGAAAAAACACTCATTTGTTACTGACCCTAAGAACCTGCTGATATATATATATATATATATATATATATATATTTAATGGACTATAATTGGACAGTTCAAAGGTGAACCACTCTCTTTGAAGGGGAAGTGAGAACTGTTACTGGACAATAGCAAGCAGTTGGAAGCAATACCACTTACGAACAGAAGGTTTGTTTCTCTCTCCCTGCTAAAATGGCAGGCAGTGTTTGCCCATAAGTAAAGGATGCATGGGTAACAAAGTTGTTGAAGGCAAATTTCCCTTTAAATCTTCAGAGAAAGTTTGAAAAGAAATCCTCTTGAAGAAACCCCAGAAAAGAAAGAATCAAGAGGTCCCTAAGTGGTGTTTGGGGCTAAAGTCATTGAAGAAGACAATGATCCTGCTTTCCCTCCCAGGGCCAATATACTGATGATGATGATGATTAGTGGTGGGGGTGGCTATACTGATGACATAGGTATTCACAGTTGGGATAAGAATGATCTTGAACAAAAAAAATCAACATCCTCTTCTAAGTGTTCCAAGAAACAGGAATCAAGATAAACCATTCCAAAACAGAATTTATGTTTTAGTGGCATTACTACATTGCTTGGGGTGATTCCAATTAAAAAAAAAAAGTTATTGCATTTCGTTTGGGCCAGAGAATACTACCACTGGACCAGAAATAATTTTGGTGTACTTTTACTCAAACCTTATCTTTCAGTCATCAGTTTAAACTGACGTTTTGTTTTCAAATGAAAACAAGAAAATACAACCTTTAAGCAAAATGGTCACAATATATGGAAAAAAATTATAATGATAATATTAGCTGTTTCCTTATAAGGAAACATTCAGTATCTCCAAAAACATATTTTCAGGAAAACAAGTTCCTCAAGTTTACTAATCCTACTGCCCATTATTGATGGGAGTTTTCTTCTGGAACTTTTGTATGAAGTAGTGTGGAACATCAACATCTTGTTTATTTTATTTACTAATGTTCATCCAATACAAGGCTCAAGAGTCACTCAAGGTAGAGGATTACTGTGTAGTGTTGTTTAAGTGAAAGAAAAGGCAAGAAGTGACGTTCTTGGAGCTATGCAGGAAAGATAACGGCTAACTCTAGATGAAGAGGTCAAGATTTAATTAGTGAATAACATTTCAGAGTTCAGGTGGAGACATTAGAAGTATAGTGTAGACTTTAGAAAGTACCAGAAACCCAAACAGGAAACAAGGGATAAATCTGTACTCCTATTCGAAAAACCAGGGAGAAGTGTGAACCGGATGATTGTCATTATTTTTACATGTGATATCCATTTTACTTGTTGGTAGTTCTCAAGTGATATGGTTTCTGTTATTAGGCACTATTCATTGTGTTTCTGTAGCGGTACTTCCCAATATACTAAGATAAATTACCAATAGTAAATTTTCATGTGGATCACAATGCAATGTAAAAAAAAAACTTGACTTATTTTTCAGTTTTTTATTATTTTTCTTGTAGTGAATATTTCTTCATATTTTGTTAAGAAACAAAAGAAAGGTTTGTATGAAGTGGTCATAAAGAACATAACTTGCATTCCCAGAATGCACAACACTGGATAGTTCATCATATTGTAGTGCAATTAGCAAAAATGCCCAACAAACAGAATTGTCAAAGTTTGCAATAAACAATAACAAAAGAAAGAAAAAGAACAGGGCAATATAATAATACTAAGCAAATATATATGCAAGATAAAATTATGCAAAGCAACAGAAATAAGACAAAAAGTTCACAATGTAAGAATGGATTTAACATGAAAAAGGGATACAGTCAAGTGATTATAGCATTCTGACCTTAAGACAAGAAAGGACAAAAATATGGCAAATGAGACTAAGAAGTGACCCATTTTTATTGGTTAGGAAGAAATCCCAGCATGCATCTGTGCAAGTTGTCTATAAATTTAAGGAGATTAGTAGTCATTCCTATGCAGATTGAAATCAACACATATTAAGGAAAAAAAAAAGAAAATGGAGTCTATAATTGAATTTGAAATTACCTCATTTAGTCTTCTATGTAGTTCCATATTTTCTTCTTTTATTCTTTCCATCTCTTTTTCAATGTAATCAGATTTTTCTGCAAAATGATCCCTGAATTGTACATAAAATAAACTAGTGATTTAATAAAAAAAAGGCTTAAAAGATTGTTTTAACAGATTGAAAAATAATGTTGGGGTTTATAGTTGAACTATTGTAGTGATAAAAAAAATAGACAAAATTTATTAAGAGCTACAAAGGACAGGAAACTGTGGAGAGCCATGATTGCCTACATCCTGAAGGGACATGGCACATAAAGAAGAATGCAATATTAGAGTGGTAAGATGCATTTATCTTCAATGACCATTCAAACCGAATTAAAATTGTTCATATTAATTCTTTCTTATTTATCATCTAGCCATGTATTTGTATGCTCATTTAGTGAAAAAATTATAAATGTTTAAAATCAATCATTTGGAAATGAAAATTATAGAATTCATATGAAAATCATATATTAAAAATCATATGAAAAATTATGGAATTCATATGAAAAATTATGGAATTCATATGAAAATCATATATTAAAAATCATATGAAAAATTATGGAATTCATATGAAAATCATATTAAAAATTATGAAAATCATATATTAAAAATCATATGAAAAATTATGGAATTCATATGAAAATCACATATCAAAAATCATGAAAAATTATTGAATTCATATGAAAATCATATATTAAAAATCATATGAAAAATTATGGAATTCATATGAAAATTACATTAAAAATCATATGAAAATTATGGAATTCATATGAAAATCATCTATTAAAAATATGAATTTGATATGAAAAATTATAAAATTCATATAATAACATGCGAAAACTGACCTGATATTTTGGATTTGTTTCTTTGTCTCATCCTCTTTCTTCTGCAAAAGTTCTTGTACATATCTACAAATTTAAAAAGGAATAAATGATAAACTATATTTCCAGCAATACACAGTATGCTTTTTTTTCTAAAATTATCCTCCAAAAACCACCCTATTTTTAGATCCCAGTGGTTGGGTTCAGGGCTGGTGTATACTACTCCAAATCCGCCATGACCATGGAAAGCACAAGCCTGACTGGGATCCCCAGGCAGTGCTTCGTGACCCTCATTATCCTATCAACATTTGCTTTTTTATACCTACATTTTACAAATTAAAACTAAGCACAACTTTTAATGAATTAAAAATTTTCACAGATTTTGATACCATTCTGGCATACTTTTTTTCCATCCAAATTCCATGAATTTGTTTCGCTCATGCCAAATCTAGAAAAAAAAAAAACACTATATAAAATTCATTATTTTTATCTATAATGTTGAATGTATTAAAATGATTCAACTTTTTAACAAGAAAAATCTCAAGTTGATATTAAGAATTGCAGCAAAACATTGTTGATTTATTTAAAATGGAATGATCTATTATGACATGTCTCTAATTTGTATTTAGATACATTGTATTTATTCTCAATTTTTTTAGTTGAATTGTTCACTTATATTGTATATAATCCATTATTGTACATAATTAAGTTACAATAAAACTTGTATTTTATATAAATACTACCTTATGAAAATTGAGATGTAGTAGAGTCAGAGCCCCCATATCATAGATTCAGTGTGGGGCTTGAACTACATCCGCGTCCTGGGTAAGACGATAAACTATGTCCAACAGCAAGGCCTCTGATCAGGAGGTTTTGAGGAGTGTGGAACCATCTCTTAATTGCTGGTGTTCCCAGGTCTGCCCTGACCTGGAGTGGTAGCACCTGTTAGGGTCCCAGTTATGGGCAAATAGTTAACCCCCAAACCCAGATCTCGTCCTGAGTATGACAATAAACTACATCTGTGTCCTGGGTAAGACGATAAACTACATCCAACAGCAAGGCCTCTGATAATATGTTTTTGAAAAATAATGTTGCTAGCTGTATGTTTTTGAAAAATATTACCAGCTATACGTTTTAGGAAAAATATTACCAGCTATACATTTTTGAGGAAAAAAATATTAACAGAAATAGATTTTTGGCAAAATAAAAAATATTACCAGGAAAAAAAAAGTTGTCAGCATTAAATGACCCATTGAGGTTGATATGCCATAAAACAAAACAAACCAAACCTACGTATACCTTACCAAAGCAGCACCAAATTTTAAAAAAACCCAAAAAACTCACTTCCTCATCGTCTCACATATGATAAATATATGAACCGAGTTAAGGTCAGAACTAATCATAGCAACTTCATTTCTCCCAACTTTTGTCATACACACCCACACAACATCTACGCTATACACATTAAAACATTTAGTGTCAGTGGTACTGAAAAAGGGTCAATTTAGTTTTCATGCCTTTTCTTTATATTTCATATTCCATTTTTGTATTAGTTTGAACATGTTTACAAAATATTTATCAACACAAATACATTTTTTTTTTACACACTACAGTTCACACTTTACAAGGACCAAGAGCCACCCAAGGTAGAGGGTTACATTTGGGGGCCATTTGTATGTATAGGAGTGGAAGATAATGGTTAACACAGGCCTTGAACAAGTTAAGATTGTAGTGATTGGAGAAACATCCTGTTTTTCCACACGGCTTTGGTTCGCAGGAAGAAGCTGCTTGAGTAGAACTTATTTCCCATCAATGGAATATGGAGGGAATGTGGGTAGTTTCTTTCTAAGTGGCATGGCATGTTCTTGCTGTGAAGGTTTGTTTGGTGGGTCCAGAGAGTGTAGTTCGTCTAAGCACCTTCCAAGGAAGTAGCAGTTGAGAAACAAGAGGCTTGCAACATCCTGCCTGTGAGAGAGTGTTTAAATGGCGGAGAATAATTCATCACCTACAAGCGCTCAGAGATGCTTTTGAACTTTATCAAGGCTGAAGAGTGAGGTCTTGACAACACATGCCCAAATATGACAAGAGTACTCCATTTTCAGACCAATTTGGCTCTTGTAAAGGTAGAAGATAACAAATTGGTTGGTTTGGTTTGTTTTACGGCATATCAACCTCAATGAGTTATTAAATGCCAACAAATTTTTTATTGCTGGTAATATTTTCTTTCAAAATAAACTATAGTTAGTAATATTTTTTTTTTCTAAAAATGTATTGCTGGTAATAATTTTTTTTTTTACAAAGTATTTCTGGTATGTATTAAAACCTATTTTTACACTTTCATAGTGTTTTGACACCAGTTTGGGTGTCAGCTATTTGCCCATAGCGGGGACCCTAACAGGTGCTACCACCCGAGGTCAGGGTGGACCTGGGAACATCAGCAATTAAGAGGTGGTTCCATGCTTCTCAAAACCTCCTGATCCGAGGCCTTGCTGCTGGATGTAGTTTATTGTCTTACCCAGGATGTGGATGTAGTTTACCGTCATACCCAGGACAGTAAAGGATAGCAGGAGGAGTCAGGTACTCACTAGAGTGGTACAGAGAGCCCACCATTTTACCTGCATCCTTAGCAATGGATCATATGTATGTGTTCTATATGAGTTTGAGACCCAACAGACTTTAAAGGCACGGTGCTTCCTCAAGAGGACCTCTGTTCATCCTGATTAGTGGTAGTTCGAGGTCAGATAGGAGGAGAGATCAGTCGCCAATCTCTGACTTAGAGATGCACCCTTATATAATCGTATCATCGGCATAGATATTTATAAAGGATCTCATCAAGTAGAACATTTATGAAGATCAAAAAGAGGGTTGGTTTGAGAAGTGACTCCTGGGGGATACCCGTGTTGACCTCTAAGGTTCCAGAGGACTGGCCATCGATAATTACCTTCACAGACTGTTAGGAAGGATTTTATGATCAAGAAGACCTTTCTGGTGATTCTATAACTAGAGGGCTTGTGTAGTAAGCTTTGTGTCACACCTTGTCAATGGCCTTTGAGATATCTAGTGCTATGGCCCTCTAGGTATGTTTGTTATCAAAAGCCTCACTGTTTCTGTGAGTAAAGGTAGTTAGGACTTTGGCAGTGTATTGGGCTGATTGAAACCCATACAGCTTGTCGCTGTAGAGGGTGTTCTTTCCTACATGCTCCACGACCCTTTCATTGATTATGGCCTCAAAATGTTTGCTAATGTTACTGAGGAAACTGATGGGTCTGTACTTGGAGGGGGAAGATGGCATGGCCGTGTTCTTGAAAACTAGGCATAAACTTGATACTTTCCACAGGTTTGGGAAGGATTTCTCCTTCAAGCAGCAGTTGAATAAATTTTCTAGTATTACAGGTCCTACGTTCAGGCAGATTGTTGGTAGTTCAGGGTGAGATTGGTTTTCAAGACATTGAATGTAACCAGCCAATTTTTACCCCATTGGGTAGTTAGTGCAAGGGAATTCAGTCTCTGACCAGCATAGATGTTTACAAATGATCTGAGTAGATTCTTAGGCAGATCATTTATGTAGATCAAAAAGAGGGTTGGTTTGAGAAGTGACTCCTGGGGGATACCTGTGTTGACTTCTAAGGTTCCAGAGGACTGGTCATCGATAATTACCTTCACAGACTGTTAGGAAGGATTTTATGATCAAGAAGACCTTTCTGGTGATTCTATAACTAGAGAGCTTGTGTAGTAAGCTTTGTGCTACACCTTGTCAAAGGCCTTTGAGATATCTAGTGCTATAGTCCTTGAGGTGTGTTTGTAGTCAAGAGCCTCACTGATTCTGTAATAGTAGTTAGGATATTGCCAATGGATTAAGCCGACTGAAACCCATACTGCTCATTGCTGAAGAGGTTGTTATTTTCTAGATGCTCGATGACCCTCATATTGATTATGGCCTCAAAAAGTACTGGGAGGGGGAAGATTGCATAACCACATTCTTGACACTTTCTACAGGTTTCAGAAGAATTTCTTTTCCAAGCAGCAGTTGAATAACTTTGCTATGATTGGGGATAATTCTGGGTTGATGTTCTGAAGGACAACCACCAGAATTTTGTCTGGACCAGTGGCTTTCATAGGGTCAAGGTCTTTGATAAGTCTAGAGACTTTATGTGCTGTGATGGTAATATTACTGAGATTGTGCTCAGTGAGACATGGGAACTTGGGGAGAAGTATTTTAGTGAATAATACAAATGCCCCTAAAATATTAATATTATTTATGTATTATTTTATTAAATAAAATTAAATTTTGAAATGCATTCACAGCTACCTTGAATATTTGAACCCTTACATAATGGTATCTTTGTTTTTGTTAGTTACCATTAGAAATTCCTATATAAGACTATTTTGGCTTTACTTTGGTAAATAAAATTAAATTTATTAACACCTTCATGGATACCTTAGATATTTGAACCCTTACATAATGGCATCTTTGTTTTTGTTAGTTAACATTAGAAATTTCTATATAAGACTATTATGGTAAATAAAAATAAATTTATTAATATATTCCCTTCTAACTTGGATATTTGAACCCTTACATAATGTCATCAATGTTTTTGTTAGTTACCATTAGAAATTGCTATATAAGACTATTTTGGCTTTATTTTGGTAAATAAAATTAAATTTATTAATATATTCCCTTCTAACTTGGATATTTGAAACCTTATATAATGCCTTCTTTGTTTTTGTTAGTTACCATGAGAAATTGCTATATAAGACTATTTTGGCTTTATTTTGGTAAATAAAATTAAATTTATTAATGAATTCTCTGGTATGTTGGATATTTGAACCCTTACATGATGCTGTCTGCTTTTTGCTAGAGTTGCCATGAGAAATTGCTATATAAGATAAAAGAGGTTGCTAAAATTTCCTCTGTTCAACCCACTTCTCAAAGTTTGACCAAAGTTTGATTCTTCATCAGATTTTGACAAAGTTTGATTCTTCATCAGATTTTTTTTTAATTCCTTCTTCATTGAACCAAGATCTTTTCAGCACCCCTTTTGTAATTAATTTGAATGTAAATATAAATTTACAATTTTTTTTTTTTTTCAGATTTAACAAACCTTTTCTTTTCTAAATTTTGTTTCTCTTCATTGGCCCTCTTCAATTTGGGTGGACTGGGTGGAACTAAAGAATAAGAAAACCACCCGACATCTGAAATATAAATAATGAAGAACTTGTTACCTTGGTTAATTTAATACAAAGAATTTGATAGGTGAAAAGCTAGCCTTTCATATATTGAATTTTTAAATATTTTAAGAAGTTTCTATGATTATCAATTTCAGACTAGTTCATCTTAAATCTTTAAATCTATATCTTTTCATCATAACACTTATGTCATTTTACAGAGTAAAATTGTAGAGTGAGTGGCCATGATTAAATGTATCAAATGGCAGAATTGCCCAACAAACAGAATTGACAAAGTTTTCAATAAACAATAACAAGAGAAAGAAAAGAACATGGCAAAAAAATAAAATAAAGCAAGCAAACAATATATGCAAGGCAAATTAACAGTAATAAGGCAAAGCAACAATAATATGTCAAAAAGTTCATAAACCAAGAATTTTGGTTGACACACAAGAGCAAATCTGAATAAACGAATGTAGTATTCTGACTTCAAGACAAAACAGACGGTGTTGTAACCTTGGGAGGATTACTGAATAGAATAATCAAATGAATGTTGGTAATGAATGATAATAGTTAGGGCAAGAACAACACATATAAGATTCGCCAGCAGCACGTAGAAGAAAGTAGTCAACTGCTAGAAGTGAGTCAAGTAAATTCCATAATGAATCTCCATCTCTAGATATGTACAGTATGCACTACTGTATTTATGAGAATGGAGACATACCCATTATTGTCTGTAGGCATGCTACAACAGACTGAGTCATATGAAACCAAAAACTGGCCTATTTTATTGGCTTGGAAGAAATCCAAGCTTGTATTTGTGTGTCTCTGCCTATAAATTGGGAAGAGGGGAATGTTTTGCAATTATTCCTACACTAATTGGAACCAACAAGGATATAATTTGGTTTCATGTTTTGGAAGAGTTATTTGGTATTCTTTGCGTGATAATATTTTGTTCAGGTCTGATAAAAATGATGCCAACTTATGCATATATGTTCAACTGAGAGGTATTTGATATCTGTTGTATGATGAGAAAGTTTCATTTTTTATTGGCTAGGAAGAAATCCCAGCTTGGATTTGTGTGCCTCTACTTATAAATTGGGGAGGGGTGAAGTGTTTTGCAGTCATTCCCCTTGGGGATTGGAATCAACACGATGCATATTTAATTAGTTAAAAGCAACAAAAATAAGACGAGAGAAACAGTAATTAAAAATTAAAGGTGAAATTACCTGCCTCATTTAAAAAATTCAGCCAACATAAGACTATTATATCTACTACTAAATCTTATTCTTCTATATGTCATGTCCCTTCAGAACTTAGATGTTTATGGCTCTCCACAACTTCCTATCCCTTGTGACCCTTAGCAGTTTTTCTCCCTTTGCCCAGACTCCCTTCCCCTGTTCTTTCATCCATTCACACAAGTTCACCAGGTAAGTAGCTCATTGCCTTCCCTTATATCTTTTGCTTTCACTAGGCCCTGTGAGTGTTAGGTTTTCCAAGACGTCCTTTCTCATTACATGTCCAAGAAATTTCAACTATCTTTTCTTGATTCTGGTTATAAGTGTTCTTTTTAATGCCTTTTTCTTTAAGACTTCTTTGTTTCTTACTCACTCCGTCCATGGAATTCTCAGTATCCTTCTGTAGAACCACATTTCTGTTGTCTCCAGTTTTCTCCTCATCCATTGGGGAGATTGTCCAACATTCACTGCCATATAAGAGGATGGATATCACATAACAATCCAGTATTTGTTTTCTTTGTTTCTAATAAAATTATTCTGTTTCTCAGGATCTTGCTTAGTTTTTGGAATGCATCTTTTGCTCATCCAATGCATGTTTGAATCTCAATCTTGCATTTGTTGTGAATTTGAATCAACCCACAACAAAGAAAAAAGCGAGAAAGAATTTTAAATTTAAAAATATGAAATATTTTTATTTTCATGTTTTTACAACTAAATTTTTTCTCAGTGTGTATGAGTGTTAAAGTTCTTGTGTTAAAGATCCTTGTTTTTAATTGTTTGTTAAGATGAAAGAAAATATGATTTCTTCACATGTATGTGCAAAAAAGAGAGGCAAGTGAGAAGCTGAGAAGGAAAGTGTAAGTGTCACGTAGCTTAGTGACGAAGACGAGTGAATGAGTAAAGGAATCTCTTTTAAGCCATGTTGTGAACAGTTGTCGTATGTTGCCATTTCTATCTCCTTACTTGCTTGGACTGGTCCTCGTCGTAGTGGTAGGCAATAGGCATAGGCAATAGATGTCCTCTTGTACCTCCATATCAGTCTGTATTTATGGCTGACACCAGCCAATCATATTACTGTGAGGGGGAACCCAGGTGTATGCATATTCATTACATCAAAACAAAAATAGGCACTATTACACTTTTGCCCCCACCGACCCACCTTGTTGTAATAATTTGCCGCAATCTAATTTTTTCCACAAGAAATAATTTTATTCTGTTAGCTATCCTTTTTGCACAGCTTACATTCATCACTTCACATACTTTACTGTTTATTTCAAACCAAGAATTATGGCTGGTGTTCAACACATTCCTAATCAATAGGTTTTTGAAGACATCACCATTTTGAAGATTGGGGCACAGTTTTACAACAATATTGATAATTACATTGACTGGTGCCGTAACTATGGTTTACTAGCAGTCAATGTAGACTGCATTGCATGCAACAGCCGTTCTAGGGAACAAACCTATTTGTGATCGATGGACAAAAGGATTAAGAGGTGTGCACATAAAGCTTGGGGTGCAAAAGTGTTGAGATGTTGTGAGTTTCCCGCGTGTCGGTGTATGAATCAAGACAAACACAGTTGTAGAGGAAAATACTGGTATATTCATAAAAGCAATTAACAATAGAGTGATTAGTAGAATGAAGGTTGGTTAGTACGAAACAATATCCAAAGTCTATAGTCCAACGGTATGTACCGGGTAAGCTTATCTGGACTGCTCACGCTGACTCTCTCTCTGTCGCTCTGCCACTCTCTCTCCAGAGCTGACTTATATAAGAGGGACCAGTCCATTACTAGTTAGAAGGTGGGTGCGCCCCAACAAAAAGTGTAATAGTGCCCAAGCTATATTTGCATAAAATGCATTTTTAATGCTTCGTAATATTTCACCACAATGTAATTTTTTCTGAAGAATTTTTTCCTGTTGGCTATTTATATGAGTATATCACTCATATAGTGAGTTTCAGCTTCTTCATCATCATGATAAAAGCTGGTTCCGTTTGAAGGCCTATTGCAAATCAGCATGATTTCTCATTTTCAGCAACTAGGTCTTAGTTTCCTATACTAATTCTTGAAAGTGCTGCAAACCATCTAAACTCTTCAAAGTTTTTTTATTTTTTTGGGTGCTGTTACACTTTTGGCACGTTCCCAATCAACAGGTTTTTGAAGACATCACCATTTTGAAGATTAGAGCACTGTTTTACAACAATATTGATAATTGCATTGATTGGTGCTGTAACTATGGTTTACTAGCAGTCAATAGAGACTGTATTGCATGCAACAGTTGTTCTAGGGAACAAACCTATTTGCGATCAGCGGACAACAGGATTTGGAGGTGTGAACGTAAAACTTGGGCGTGCAAAGGTTAATAGCACCCTAAAATATAATACTGCTAATAAATTGTCTTTTATGCACATTTTGGATCAAATTGTATGGTTGGCCATTTGTTTTCAAGCATGCTTGTCCACTAGGGTAGTTAGCTAATCCCTATTGCAAATGCCTGCTCAATCATATTTGTATTTCTTCAACACCCACAGAGCCAACCTGTAGTTTATCCTGCAACTATGCTGAGCAGACATTTGTTACAGTTTCTGGGAGAGAGCCTACAATCTATGTGTGATTATTAGTTTTGAAGAAGCCCAATATACACAAATCTTCAGTCACGATGACTTGTGACTTCATTCTTGCATAACCATTGATGGCTTCTGGCTTAGGTTTTGTCAACCCAATTTCACTCACAATTCTTGGGTTAACCCGGAGTATGGCTTTCAGGCACTTCCCAATGGTGCCGCATGCTGTGATCATCTCTCCAGGGTGATATTATCAAGAAGTCACCTCCTTGACAAATTGACACAAATTGGTTAGATCCGAATCCAGGTTTTCTAATCAGAACACTTATGTTCTAAATATTCATCCATGCACCCATTTTGGATCAAATTAAAATTACTCAAGATTATTTGATTATATTCAGATATTATCCGGCTTATTTTTTCCAAAATAAAACAGAAAGTTATGAAAATATGAATTCTATCCAGAAGGTATCTATCCATTTTTCCAGAAAGTAGTTGTACAAGAACAATGGTCTGCAAAAATTAAGTCAGCATGGCAGATGTGACGCCAACCAGTTAAGCGAGAATCTCTCTATATTAATTATATATGATAAAAACATAGTTTTAGGGTATGTTATATTTAATATATAATGATTCTGTGCAGAAAAGAGTTGAAAGTTTTGTGGGACACCAGGAACCTCTTCTCACCACCGTCAAAAAAAAAATGTGGTTTGGACAAATTACAAGGCATGACAGCCTGCGCAATACCATCATGCAAGGCACTGTTGACGTAGGAGAGGATGCCAATGCAAAAACTGGTTGGACAATATCAAACAATGAACAGGTATGACTACCAGAATTGCTGATGGCTGCCATTGACAGACTGTTATGGAAAAGAGTTAATGTGGTTTCAGCATTCAGACCTACCCTATGATTACAAAAGTCAAGGGATGATGATGATTCTATTTATGGGTTAAAGTACTTACTATCAGGGATAGAGTGTATGTAAATATAAAAGTAAACATTGTGGTCAACAACCAGTGGCAACTCTCTCTTTCATGTCTAAACACAACGATGGCCTGAAGATTGTGTTTAAGCATGAAATAGACTGGTGCCATTGGGTGTTGACTTCAATGTTCACTTATATGTGTGTGTGTGTGTGTGTGTGTGTGTGTGTGTGTGTGCCAATTAATCTTCAAAGATATTCATGTAGGTAAAATAAGTATCACTTTTATTTTTTTATGCAAGAATTCACCCAATATAAAGCTCAAGGGACACTCAATGTAGAGATATATTGTTAAAATGGTAATGATGAACGAAGTGTGTGATATGAATGAAAGAGAAAGTGGCAGAATGTAAGGATTATAAAGAAGAATTGACCTTTGACTTGAAGAGGTCAAGAATGAAGTGGTTAGGGAAGCATCCATGGAGGAGTTTGTTCCAAAAAGTGGCAGTTCTTGAGAAAAGTTTTCCTGAGTGGAAGTTTCCACTTACCATTGGAAAACAGGGATAATTTGACCTTGTGGAAATGGCATGGTGCATCCTACTTGTAAAGGTTTGAACTGGTGGAAGTAAAGAATAGAGCTCATCTGAATTTTTTTCTTTGATAGGGTCATAAGGAAAGAGCTTGGTAATTGGAAATTGAGTCTTACCCTCCACAAGACTGTGTAAATGATTTTAAAATCTATCAAGGCTTGAAAGTGAGGACTGTGTAGATACAATTCAGATATAACAGCAATACACCATTTTTGGTTTAATACCCTAATGTATGAATTAAAGGGTTCAGATTGAAATTCCAATCACCTGAAGAAGACCGAAGTGTACAATGGCTGAAACATTGTGAATATGGCAACAAAGATAAGGACAACAGTCCAGACAATGTAAATAGTGTAAATAATTACAATACCTCATCTCAGAAATATAGACAGATCCTGAAGAAAGCCAGACCATACAATGGCTGAAATGGCGTGAATATGGCAATAAAGATGAGGACAACAATCCAAGCAATGTAAATAGTGTAAATAATTATAATACCTCATTTCAGAAATATGGACAGATCTTGAAGGTAAGGCTGGAGCATACAACAGCCAAAACCTTGTGAAGATAAAAACATGACAGAAGATAAATCATTGTAAAGATAAAACATTGAAAAGATAAAACATGACAGAAGAAGTCAGGTATTTTCTGGAGTGATAGAATTTGCCAAAACAACCAGCCCAGATATAGCAGGAATACTCAATTTTTGGTCTAATCTGACTCTTGTAAAGTTAATGCATGGCGGAAGAAGTCAGGTATTTTCTGGAGTGATAGAATTTGCCAAAACAACCAGCCCAGATATAGCAGGACTCAATTTTGGTCTAAATTTTTGGTCTAATCTGACTCTTTTGTAAAGTTAATGCATGGCGGAAACAAAGTCAGGTATTTTCTGGAGTGATAGAATTTGTGGAAAACAACCAGCCCAGAGATATAGCAGGAATACTCAATTTTTGGTCTAATCTGACTCTTGTAAAGTTAATGCATGGCGGAAGAAGTCAGGTATTTTCTGGAGTGATAGAATTTGCCAAAACAACCAGCCCAGATATAGCAGGAATACTCAATTTTTGGTCTAATCTGACTCTTGTAAAGTTAATGCATGGCGGAAGAAGTCAGGTACTTTCTGGAGTGATAGAATTTGCCAAAACAACCAGCCCAGATATAGCAGGAATACTCAATTTTTGGTCTAATCTGACTCTTGTAAAGTTAATGCATGGCGGAAGAAGTCAGGTACTTTCTGGAGTGATAGAATTTGCCAAAACAACCAGCCCAGATATAACAGGAATACTCAATTTTTGGTCTAATCTGACTCTTGTAAAGTTAATGCATGGCGGAAGAAGTCAGGTACTTTTTGAAGTGATAGAATGAGCCAAAACAGCCCCAGCTTAGATATAACAGGAATACTCAATTTTTGGTCTAATCTGACTCTTGTAAAGTTAATGCATGGCGGAAGAAGTCAGGTACTTTTTGAAGTGATAGAATGAGCCAAAACAGCCCCAGCTTAGATATAACAGGAATACTCAATTTTTGGTCTAATAGATGTAAAGTTAATGCATGGCGGAAGAAGTCAATTTTTGGTGATAATGAGCAAAACAGCCCCAGCTTGATATAACAGAATACTAATTTTGGTCTAATCAGACTCTTGTAAAAGTTAATGCATGGCGGAAGAAGTCAGGTACTTTTTGAAGTGATAGAATGAGCCAAAACAGCTCCAGCTTAGATATAACAGGAATACTCAATTTTTGGTCTAATCTGACTCTTGTAAGTATAATGCATGGCGGAAGAAGTCAAGTATTTTCTGGGGTGATAGAACAAGCCAAGTGATGCTTCTAAATTAGCCAGAAATTTGATAAAAGAGCTCCATATTTTGGAAAGCCTTCAACAAACAGTCCAAAAATATTAAATGCATACAGGCTAGAGTCAAAGAAAAGTGATTGTGCAAGAATAAGATTTGGGGATTCCACAGTTTATTCCAGACATTTTAAATACCATGACTACCCATTATTCATGCCTTCTACAGTTGAGTGGGTCTTTGACATAACAGTACATCATCCAGTTCTGTAAGTACTCATGACAAACCAGATTTGGCTCTATGGGATTTCTGGTTTTTCCCTAAAATTACTATTGATAGGGAAGAGATTTCAGATCATGGACGAGATTAAAGAGAATGCAGTGGATGGCAATCTTAAAAGAGGATTTTGTTAACCTTTTTTGAAAAATGGAAGAGATGCTACAGTAAGTATATATAAAGAGAGTACTTTGAAAAGGAGCCATTGTCTTAAGTAGGCTATATTTTCATCATTATTAAAAGCCAAGGTTATTTCTGGACAGACCTCATATCTGTTGCCATTTCAATAGGTTCTCCTCACCTGATGATGAATCACATGTTGGAAGATGAAGACCGTCATAAACATTTTGGAAATCTTGTTGAAAACTTTTCTGTACCTGCAATATTTAAAATTCCTCATTACAACATAATTCCTCATTTTCAAGAGCAATTGTTTTTTTTTTCATTTTTTTGATTAAATCTAATTTAATTTTTCATTCTATTATAATTAATTTTTTTCTAATGGAGGAAATGCAAAATGTCTTCCTGAATCCTGTTCTTTTATTGTCCTTTTGCCTGACTTCTCCCCCACTGAAGTCTTTTATTCTTTTTAACTTCCAGTAACCCTTTGCATCCTAGTGGTATTATCACTTTTCTTTGGGTGAAATAATTAAAAATAAAAATATTTTATAAATTTTCCACTTTATTACTAGAGAATCAGCACCATGAGTAATAAGCAGATTACATTAAGACCCAGCAGCCATTCCTTCACTTATAAAGATAAGGGTGGGAAAGTTTAACAAATACACCAGTAAAAAAGTAGTGTGTCAAAAGGTTGTTTTTTCTCTTGACAACACTATTACTGTATACTCCAATGGTATATTTTATTGTTTTAAAAAGCTATTTTTAGAATTCTAATAAAACACAAACATATAAATCTAGATTTACACATTCTCTTCTTACTTTAGAATTGGCAAGAAAAGAATTAAACACTGTTATGGGGTCCACCCCTTTTTCATACAAGTGGACTTGACCAGTGTGTACTTGGACTGCTGCCGTTAAGTAGCAGAGATTGTGATTGAGTTAGAGGTAGAGTAATAGTGTGAGGTAACCATTTGTAGAAGTCACAGTTACAAGCATGTAGACTCTAAGGAAATCCCACTTCGAGACTGAATTTACCAGACTGTATATATATATTATTATTATTGCTACTAACCGCGTTTCTGGATCTACTAACAGTATTACCAATTGTATTATTGTGTAAATACATTTATTTGTTATATTTCATTCCTGCATTTGTCATTCATTGGAGACCGGATTTCATCTCGGAATCCACAACAAATACTATTCTTATAATTAAACAATAAATAGTTCTTTACACTATTTACATTGTTCAGAGAGTTGTTCTCATTGTTGTTGTCATATTCACAATGTTTCAGTCATTGTACACCCTGGCCTTCTTCAGGTGATTGTAATTTTGAACAGAAACCTTTATTTTGTCCACTGGGGTAGATTGTTCTAGTTCCTTGTGCCATGCCACTTCCAGATATCTTAGTTTCAGTTTCACTTATTTCCTTTTAGTAATTCAACTCTCCAAGATTTTTTTTTTGTTTGTTCATCTCTGCTGTGCCCAGGTATTGAACTCACAAATCTTTGGGTCAAGTCACTGGATTACTTCAGTCAATACTGGGCCATGTGTCCTTGAGGATATAAGTGTATGAATTTTTGAGACTTATAAACCTAATATTTCAGTAACCTTTTTTTTTTTTTTTTTTTTAACCAGAGCTCATATTATAATTTGTTGCTATTATTGTTTTTTCTAGCACTCCATATTATTGGTTTCCATATTGTATTCATATCTATGCTTGGCTGCCTAGCATTTTTGCGGCCTAGCATATGTGCTGATTCATCAAGTTTTTGTATTTTCTAATGATGTTCTCTATTATTTCAACCTCATGCCACAGAGGACAGTGATCTCCCTTTCCCCTCTATATGGTCAGCCATGCCTGATTTTTCTATTTCCCCTCTTGTTACAGCTTTACAGTGTTTTGAGTTAAAGGAAAATAACTGAAACAGAGATATCCAAAAGAGGCATGACACATGGAGCTAGAACAATCTACCCTGATGTATGAATTAAGGGGTTCAGTTTGAAATTCCAATCACTTGAAGAAGACCGGAGTGTACAATGATTGAAACATTGTGAATATTGCAACATAGATGAGGAAAACAGTTCAGACAATGTAAATAGTGTAAATAATTACAATACCTCATCTTAGAAATAGACACAGCTAATAGTGTTTAACATTTTTGTTTTCACTTCAAGGAAAAAAGTATAAATCCAGATACTTGCAAACTAATTATAATGAATTTATGTGGTGACAAGAAGTGAAAGAAAATCTGGAAAATGCATTTTTTCAAAATTACAGTTACTCATGTTTATGTGTAGTTATTTCTTTATATGATGAAAAATGATGAAAAGATGAAAAATGATGGAAAATAATAAAAAATGATGAAAAGTGATTGAAAAAGATGAAAAATGATAGAAAATGATGAAAAATGTAGTCAGTATACATAATTTTATAAACTTATAAATATAAAATTATTCTTGAAATATTGTTTAATAATTTAGTTGTTAGTTCTCGAGAAAAAGACAGAATTCATAAATCCAATTTCATAAGTTTGGGTTTTATTAAAATTCTAAAAATAGCTTTTTAAAACAATAAAAAAAAATGCCACAAGAGATTACAGTAATAGTGGTATCAAATGAAAAACCATCTTTTCCACACAACATTTTTTTGCTAGTATGAATGTTAAACTTTGCTATTAATGTTGCTTAGATTCAATATACAGGATCTTAGGCTGAGCAATTCTCACTTTCAATCACTGAGTAGTTCTGTTAATTGATTAGTTCTACTCTCCTCATCATGTGAATTGAGTAATTTATGATTTAAATGGCAGTTTGATGCTGAATATATAGGCAGAACTAGTCAGAGTTGAAAGTGAGAACTGATCAACATATACCAGCTAAGATACATACAGAGCACGATAATTTATATATGCTTAACAATACATCCAAGTCTGCAGTTGCAAAACAACTAATAAGCAATTTGATTTGTGCCTTGTTTTTCATGAGAGGTTTTTCTCAGTGAACTGTGAACATTCTGCTTACCATTTAAAAAACAAACTTCTAGGTCAGCCCTTAAGGTACCTAACTTTTTGATGTTCTAAGGTGACACTGCGTACAAAGCTTACTTTGGTATCAGTGTGAAACCAGTACTTATTGGAGTCACCACCAATCAACTCCTCTTAGATCAACAGGTCCTGGCAGATATCAGCTATTTCCTCACATGAATCAAATAGTCAAAATGGTTGTATTTTTACCAGTGGATTAAATGCATTTTCAGAGGAGTTCATATTGAAATATAAATAATGTTTTTATAGAATATATTTATATTATGAAATAAATTACTTTAAATATATTTATATAAATAGCATATATAAAAACATGCTATATATATATATATATATATATATATATATAGCATATATTATGGAAGAGAGAAGTTAGTTGGTTCCAGAGGTCAGTATTACAGTATTTACGTATACAGTATAAATAGTGTATATTACAGTATTTATATGTATGTACATTATTCTGAATAAAATAATTAATTTCCACTTTATCTTCCAACCTTATGCTTAGCATTAGCACTGGGACTTTTCTTTAGAGCCATGGGCAAAAATGGCTTCTAAATCACAACTGAAATGTAACTGAAGTACATCAACAGTGAAGCACAGATGTAAACAAGTCTGAATTCAAAAACAGTGTTGGTGCAGTAAAAACGCACAAGTACCACCTGTCAGCAGGAATTTGAAATAAGAACGTGCTACTTTTTTTGTTTTTGATGATTTTATGATTTATATATATATATATATATATATATATATATATATATATATATATATATATATATATAATTATATATATATATATATATATATATATGTATATAATGATTTATTTATGATAAATATAATACATTATATTATTTTTAAATTTATTTAAGTATGATTTTAGATGTGTTTATTGTTACTTTAGTGTTTTGATGCTTCTAATATTTTTAACAGTCAATGTAAACTTGAGTAAAACAACCTAAAGCGAGTTTTATTTTTCCATATAATATTTAAGAAAAACCAATGTATCTTCGAAATGACTTAAGCTGAGGTATCACTGTATTATATATCAACAGCAGCAACAATTAAAATGGATAGCATATGTAACTTGAAGAGAAAATAATGACATAATCAAGTTGTTGACATTCCACACTACTTCAAACAAAAGGTTTGGAAAGAAACCCCCATCAATAGTGGAAAGAGTAATAACAACTACTGGACTTGAGAAGAGAAAATAATGACATAATCAAGATGTTGATATTCCACATTATGCCAAACAAAAGACAAGGAAAGAACACTAACAATTACTGGACTTCAGAAACATATTTTTTAAGAGAAAGATTTTATAAATTCCAACCAAGAATGACTACTTGGTCAATGAATGGTAAATGTTTTCTTATCAGGAAACAGCTAATATTAACATTTGCTATTACAATATACTTATATAAAAATATTATAAATAAATAAAAATATTATAAAATATATTTATATTATAATTATTATTGTTTTTTTTATATATATGGGTGATGGAAATGAAAGATTGTTATTTATCATTTCAAGTTGAGAGTGTCACCATAAAATTACTAAGGAATTGGTCACTGTGTTTGCTGAGGAGTTGCAGGAGGTTAGTGGAGATTTACGCTACAAGAAATGCTGTAGATGACAGATGGCACATAAATTGATATCTGATCAATATTGATTGGTTCACCATGGAGAAGGAGTATGATGTTGTAAGATCCTTGGCTAAAAACATCAATGAGGGATGTGTGCCAGAGCATGAAACCATTGTATTTCATGAAGTATTTTATTATAATATAAATAATGTTTTGTTTTATTTCATCATTAGTCTATGGACTTATTGATTTATCTTCATATGTTCTCTGTATAATGTAATATGAATAGGATCATATACATTAGAGTTTTGCCGATGTACGTATATGAGATTTTATAAGTATTTTACCCAAAGAAATGATGTAATATGGATAGAGTCATATACACTAGGTTTTACCTATATATGGCTATATAAGATTTTATATGTATTTTACTTAAAGAAATGCAGTATTCAATAAGAGTTCAGACAATGTTTATAAATACATGAAACAATATTTCCTTTATTATTTAGCTCACCTCATATTGAATTTCTGACATTCTTATCTGTGGCCATTTCTCCAAAAACATTGAACTGATGTCCTAGAATTATAAAAAAATTAAATTATGAAGTGGGGGATAAGTTCATCAAAGATTAGTTCAAACACACTTTCAATGAATATAAAATGAAATTGTATATGCAGAAACATGTATCTACAGATGGGACACACTACAGTTTTCAGGTTTGTGCTAATAAATGTTTACATGTTTCAGGTGTGAACATGCAGTCAGGTGTGACAATGGAGCCAGTAGAGTACATTGATTGATTATGGCTTATCAACCTTTTGAAAGTTATTTAAAGCTAGAAAATATTTTTAGATTGTAAGAATTTTGGGGGGGTAATAATGATTTATTGATACAAGTCATACTAATAGCTGGGGAAGAAGAGGGAAAAGGTGAATTCATTCTTTTCCCAAATGTATTTGTGCATAAGTAAATATAACAAACTCAACTGGAACTGAAATTTGACTCTCCAGCCAGAGTACAGAATTGTAATTAAGTTCCTGTTTTTGAAAGGCAACACCCTACAAACAATTTTGCAGATAATGATGAACAAGATGCCCTATCCTTTAGTTTTATTAAGTACTAGAATCTGTATTTGAAATATGGTCAGACTTCAATGGAAATGACTCCTATTTCCAGCAACTCTCAGTCAGTCATTGATAGAGATTTCTATCTTAAGAGGTTGTTGCAAAATCATTTGGAAACTAACAAAGAGGGTCATGATTAGTGTGGTGATAGAAAAGAATTCATCCATGAACACTTGCATATGCAAAGAGCGTAAGTGCAATAGCGTCTATGTTTGTTCAAACTTTTCCAGAAGTAAGCCAGAGTCAATTGCTCTTGTTAAATTCTGCCATGTGTCAGCAAAATCAAGCAAACTTTATTGCTTGACAAATTGTAGTGAGTGTGAATAATAACTCTCTTTACCGACTCACTTCTAAGGACAGAGGAAGAAGGAGGAAAGAAATTTGTGAGCCTATGCAAAATTTTCTTTGGAACCAATGAAAACCTTGCCTTCCCAGAAATTAGCCATTAAGTCAAAAAGAAGAAAGGAAAAAAAGTAGCAATCCTACATGAAATTCCTTTTGATATAAAATGAGAAGAAAAATTAATTTAATAAGAAAAGAGTGTCTTAAGTCATGTGAAAAGTTTTGTTTCAGTTCTTTGCAACCAGTGTTGAAGCCAGTGTAAAATTAATCATCAGTTATATTATTGGCCTCTAAATAAACACATGGAATTTCAAAGAATTTTCTCACAACAATCCAAGAAAGCTAAGTATTTCAAATCATCTCTCTTTGTCTACTTTTGAACATATGCAAGAAACATTTATCGCTTTGGTGAGCAACACACTCTCTTATCTTTGTTTTACACATTTTTTAATATTATTTTGTGTCAGATCATATAATCTGTTGTATGAACATTTCTTCTTTATGACAATATGTTAAAACTACAAACTTTAAAAATTCTGATTTATTTTCCTGAAATGAGCTGCTGACAACTTCAAGCATGTAAATTCATAAAAATAAATTGTTTTGTTAAAATTACCCATGTGTTTCCTTGTCATTATCATCCTTCATTAATCTTCTTGATGCGGTTAAATCAACTACTTATTTTAACTCTTAAGACCCACACCACTATAAAATTGCACTCTGACCCAAAGATTAAAACACTGTCCAAGTTGGTAAATTGAGAGGTTCAACATGGGAAGATAAATAATATACCAATAGGAGTCTTATTTCATTGGAGCAGAAATTCTCAAATGGTGCAACTGAAGAGGATAGCAGGTGAAGCGGAATGATTGAAAGACAAAGATTTAGAAACAGTTTCAAAAAATTCATATGCCAAAAATAAATATGATTTCAAAATTTAAAGTATTATTATGGATTACTTGTAATTGTAAGCATGAATCCCAGCATAAATAGTTATGAATAATTAATGACCAATTTTATCAGTGATATTTTTGTATTATATCAAGTATTAAGAATATAGTAACTAGGGTCTGCAAATTGGAGGAGAGAGTTATCAATGATAATGTTCTGACTATCTCCCTTTAAGTACCTCTCTGACCTACTTTGTCATAGGGTTGCTTGTGCCTTTTCACCAGAACTTTCACAAGGATTTTCAGTTTTGACATATATCAAAAACTAAAAAAGGGAAAGGATTTTTCATGTTGATGAGGAGTTTCTTTATCTCAAATTAAGCAGATATAAAGGAGATTACTTGTCAAAAACAAAGCTCATACATTTCATTAAATTTGTGTACTTTAATCATATTGTGTTGCATATTATATATTAATGTACTATTGTCGTTTTTCATTTTTAAACGTACTTTTTATCACATAAAATTTGATGAGGTGTGAGGAAATTTTCATTCCGAAAATGTGGCCAGGGAAAAAGTTTTGGGAACCACTGATTTAGAGTTTAGAGTAATTAACAAGATAATGGAAAATAAATAATCTTCTTGGTATGGGTAAATCAACTGTTTATTTTAGCCCCTAATCTCCATACCACTATAAAATTACACGGAATGAAACATGGGTTCACCACTTTGACCCAAGACTAAAACACTATCCAAGGTGATATGTAGAGAGATTCACCATGGGAAGATAAATAATATACTGATAGGAGTTTTATTCAGTTATAGTTTAGATTAATTAATAAGGAAAGATAGTGGGAAATAAATAATGTACCAATGAAAATATTTGACATAGTGGGAGATAAATGTCTTGAATTGTGATGACAATTTACATTAGATTTTACAAACACTGTTTTTCATTTTAATCTTAAAAACTAAAGTATAGCAGAAAAGAAAAATAGAAAATTTAGAAAGAACTTACTGATGTTTCCATATGGACGTAATTCTTTAAGAAATGCAAGGAAATAACAATCACAACTCGAAGCCAATGACCAGACAAACCAGGAACTTGACCACAGATCAAAAACTGATCCCAAGCATACAGCAAAGCTTCTGGGTTCAAATAAGCTATATGGAAATAAAGACTGAATTCAGAAATTTTTTAAATATTTTTCATAAAATTTACAGAAATAAAAATAGTAAAAACTGCAAGTCTTTATTTATCTTTTCTCAATGATAAGTCACTGCAGGATAATTTTTATTTTTTATCATTTCACCCCAAGCAAGGTAATAAAGCCACTAAGATGCAAGGGATTACTGAGTGCTAGAGAATATGAGAAAACAAAAACATTCTAAAAGAGAGAGAACAAGAATTACGAATAAAAACATTAACAATTGACATTCATTTAAATTTTTGAAGCAAGAAGTTGGAAGAGAGTTCGACAAGCAAGTACTGAGAGAGAAGAAACTGCATTTAAATTTTTGAAAATCAAAGTTGACAGGGAAACAAGAAACCAGAAGAGTTCCACAAGCAAGAAGTGTAAGAGAAAAGGCTGTTAGCAGAGAACTTACACTAATCTAACCATTTCAATTGTAAAATGATGAGACCAAGCTGCCAATCTAGTACTGTACTTAAATTCCAGGCTGAGATGGGTAAATTGTGGACATTTTACATCTTTAATTTTGCATATGCATGTTGTTTGTTTTTGATTTTGTTGACTGCACAGTATAGTAGGGTCAGTTGGGCACCACCTGTGAGAAAAAGAGTGCCATGACCCAATTTACTTCATTAGAAATTTTGAAAACGACATGCTGTACGGCTTGACATTCATGACAGGAGCTACAATACGAACATTTCAGAGTGTTTAGGTGTCAATCTGAGGACAGTGCAGAGGATTTGAAAAGAGTTGGAAGTGTCGTGATTACAAAAGGTGTTTGGAGTGAGCAATAGTGATGATGATATATATCTCCATTCATCTTCCAACAGAGCCTCAGGCACAACATGAAGGCCTACATCAAGTGCCTTAAGGCAATAGTGCTGTTCTAGGTCAAGAGTGTGGCTGCTGGAAGACCCTTTGTCTGGCAACAGGACTCTATACCATGCCACACAAGCAGAAGAACCCAATCATGGCTTTCAGACAATTTCGGCAACCACATCACCTATTACATCTGGCCACCTAACTCCCCAGATTGCAACCCCCTTGATTATTATTTGTTGGGCAAGAGACCAACAAAACTGCTTGTAATACCAAAAATAAAATGAAGCAAGGATTATGGCAGCATTCACCAACTTAAACAAGGAGACTGTCCAGAAGAGTTTCAGGAGATTCTTAAGTTGTCTGGAGGCCATGGTTGAAGCCAATGGCGATTTTATTAAATAAATTTACTCTTTAGTATTTCAAGATATTTTTGTGTAATTTTGGTAAATATATCTGTTAAAATGAGATGTCAGTGTTATTTTTATCTTTGTGTCATTTAGGTGACAATTTATCCATCGCACCCTGTATTTATAGAAAAGGTAGAGGGAGGCTATATTATGCCAGTGGGAAAGTCACTGTATCAAGATGTCGTGTCAGGACCAATAACATTGCAGATTCTTCTTTGGATTTTATCAAGAATCTCTAAATACATAGCAGAAGAAGCAGATCAAATGTGACAGCAATATTCAATGCATGGATGAATGTGTGAGATTCTAACCAAAAAATTGTAACGAAACAAATTTCCAAGCAATTCATTCAATATACTCTTCATGCCAGAGAAAAATGTGAGACTAAGAAGGTATAAGGAAGCACTCTTTTGGAGGTTAGCATCAGCCATTATGATGGAAGGCCAAAAAAATGGATAGAGGCAATTATGGCTCCCCACAGAATTCTTTTTCTTTTAATATCTGTAAATTGTCATAACTTCTTCATAGTAGAGTGTTTTCCCAATATTACCCACTCCAGAGTTTTGAATTCAGGGTAGTTCTTTTCCTAAACTGAAAGCAATTGCAAACTAAAGTGCCCAGTCTACCCTACTATTTAACCCATAGCTAAGAGAGAAGAATATTAACCAGTGAAAATTTTGGATTTAAATTCAGCTAATTAACAACTTGACAGACTACAGACTTATTGGTCGACCTTGTATATATTAGATCTCATCATTTTACAACTGAATTTGCTAGATGTACAGAGAAAGACCAAATAATAAAATCTTCCACCATACAACCTCTTTCCCACAGATGAAACATTGCTGGCCTACTATATTGCTATTTTCATTGCAGAAGTTCAAACTACATTTCTTAGTTGCACTAGTTCAGACTGTCACATCTAGGATCTCCCATGACACATACACAGTGTTGACTCATCCTTATTCCCTTCAAGTTCCACTGATGCAGAGAAAGCTCCATTCAGCCAGAATCTTTCCAAGAACTGTTACTTTGTGGAATTACACTGGTGGCGAGGTCTCATCAATTTACAGTTGAAATGATTTATATGTATTGGATTGGTGCATAATTATTAGGCGTTTTTGTAAGCGAGTTATTTGTTAATAAAAATTGCTGTTTTGTTTACATTTTTTTAATAAAATATAACTTATTTTCAGTTTATAAAAATGCATGTCAATAATCATATGCTCCAGAATAATCATTTAGAAATGTTATTGTTGAATTGCTATGTTTCTTTTTTCATAATAAATATTGTTTAAAAACGCCTGATAATTATGCACCAACCCAATAACTGTTCAATGCCAACAGTTTCTTCTCTCACACTTCTCGCTTGTGGAAATCTCTTCCAGCTATTTGTTTTCCAGTCAGCTTTGATCTTCAAAAATTTAAATGCAATGTCAATTGATTCTTTTTCTTTTATTGTTCATTCTCTCTCCTTAATAATGTTTTTCTTTTTCTTATATTCTTTTCACACTTAGTAACCCCTTGCATCTTAGTGGTTTTATTGCCTTGCTTGGAGTGAAATGATTCAAAAAAAATATAATATTCATATAACTTAGTACCAATACAAAATTTACAAACTATAAAATCCTCAATCCTGATGATGGATTATCAGAATTAAATTTTTCATCCTTTTTTCAAATTTAAAAAGTAAACCAACCAACAAGCATTCCTTGAATTACAGGCTTCAGCAAAATCATAAACTTTTCAGTCAAGGAATCAGTAATTTCAGTCTCTGAAAGAAAAAAAATTTGGTAGTTAACAAATAAAATTAAAACCAAAAATCCATCTAAACTTGTTCCTATTAAAAGCTGTATAATTTTGTTCAGCTGAACACTATAATTTAGTTCCTATTAAAAGACCTATAATAATGTGAAAATGCTTAATCTAAAAGCAACAATAGTAAGATTGTGTAAAACTAGCAATAAAATAATAATAATAATAATAGTGAAAATGCAACTTCCTGCGTTATTTGCAATGATGTTACCATATATTATGGCAAAGTATCAATGGGGCAGGATATACCAGGTTGCACATTGAGAGACAATATTTATGGGGCTGGTTGAATGCTAAAGTGTTAAGGGATAACTAAAATGATCAAATATCTGTTGTCGAATATTTTAATTGCAATCCTCAGGTTATGTCTTATTTCTGTTAAATCTTTCTCTTCTGTAATATTTAAATTTGATGACGCAGATACACTTAAAACAAAGGGATTTCTCACCTAACCCTGAAATCTTATTCCAAGTGTAGATGCAGGGAAATATTTTTCAAAATTTATATACAATAAATCTAAAGTTTGTAAAATTTATTCAATAAGATTTTTATCCAGTTTACACCTTTCATGAATTCAAATATTTCTATTGCTGTTGTAGCATACCTATGGACGATAATGGGTATGTCCTCATTCACATAAATAAAGTAGTAAATACTGTATGTTGGTCTGCAGTTGGAGATTCATCTCCAGCTGTGCTGGTCAAACTCACTGCCCCTGAGCAAAGAGGATCTCCAGACAAGGTGATGTCGAAGGGCAGAGTCTTGTCTTGAGAAACAGCTACCCAACACCATTTTATAAGGAGTCTATGGGGAATTTTTGGTCGAGCCTACAGGCTCGGATACTCCACATTAAATTTGTCCTTGTGCCACATCTGACCATGTGGAGTGGTTGGTAGATATCCTGCAGTTGGAGATTCATTGTGGAATTCACTTGACTCACTTCTAGCAGTTGACTACTACTTCTACGTATTGCTGGTGAATCTTATATGTGTTGCTCTTGTCCTAAGTATTATCATTCATTACCAACCTTCAAGCGATTATTCTATTCAGTAACCTTCCTTAGGTTACAACAATTGCATTTTCTATTTTAATATTTTCCTTCGAGAGCAATATAGATTGATGGATTTGTTTAATGGCATATCAACTCCTTATGGGTCACTTAATGTCAAAATTTAATTTTCTTGGGAGCTTTGAAGCAATAAAAATATATGTTATTCTGCTTTCGCAGTTGAATACATGATAAATGATACTCAGCTTTTGTGCATATACATGTTTGAGTGGATATAATTACGAGAAGCAGTGATGCGTGTGTTTTATGTTGTAGTTTTGTTGAAGTTATATTTTGGAATATAGTTTGATTTCTTTAAGAAATTGCAGGATATTATATGGGCTTACCCCACTTACTATCCTAAAAAACTGCTGTCGCTAGGGGATTGTCTATAAACCTATAAATAGGTGGTAACATTCTATCATCTTCTTTTTTCTATTTCACCCAGGGACAGTAAAATGTAGGTCACATTTAGATAGGAACGTTGCTGCTAAGGCACGTTCACTTCCTGTTGTAGAGTAGCTAGCACCCCTTCAGCACTCTACCAAATGGCCTGGCTCATAGCCTTAAATAGTCTATGATTAAGGGCTTCAACAGTTGATTAATAAGTTGATACTAAGCTAATTAATATTTGAATTGATCTTTGGCTATACAGCATTTGACCCTCCTCTATTCTTTGTAAGTTGTCTTGTTAATTGTTTTGTAACTTACTGTTTTGTGTTTTTTTATGCATCCATTGGCACCAGATACTGATGCTGAATAAATATATTAAGTACTCATTCTTCTGTGTACCATTCACCTCAATGATACAACACTTCTCTTGGTCGTTTGTTGACTTTTGAACTCTCTCACACACATACATATATACACATGTGCCTATCACACACACTTGTTACACTTACTTCTACACAAACACCTTCACTAGTTTAAATGTTTTCTTCATTCATGTTGTTTTGTAACACGCAACAATATTCTATTGCCTATGTAATACCCTCATTTCATTAACGCATACTTATTATTTGTTTTTATATATAGTTTTGTTGTTACTTTGTCCATTTACTATCTTGACTTACATTCTGAGTCTGCTATTTTTGTTGTGGGATAAATATACTATAAAACACATGTTTTCTACCTAAACACTCAACCAGCATACCCCCACAACAGGACTAATATCATGAAAGATTTCTTTTATGTTGGTTGTTTTTGTTTGACATCATATCAACCTCTACAGGCTATTTAATGCCGAAATCTAAATATTTTAGACATAATTTTATGCTTTCAGAGTAAAGATATGTTTTTTAAATATATATTTTGTAGATCATAAAATGTATTGTTGATAATTTTACTATAAAAATAGTGTTGCATTGATGGCTGTTTTGCTATAAAAATCTATTGTTAGTCATTTTATTATAAAAATGAACTATTGATTTTTTTTGGTGGGGGGCACTATTTGCCCATAGATGGGACCCTAGCATGTGCTACCACCCTGGGTCAGGGTGTACCTGAGAACAACAGCAATTAAGAGGTGGTTCCACGCTCTTCAAAACCTCCAATCTTCCAATCAGAGGCCTTGCTGCCAGATGTAGTTTATCATCATACCCAGGACAATTCCAGAGCAGTAATTTTCCTTTGAAAGCATTAATTTTATCTGTAGAATATTTTCAGGATTTCCTTGCATACACTTATTAAGAGTGTTCAATAAATAATTTTCTGAAATAAATCTGCAAGAAATGTGACTTTATTAAACCAAACCTCATCATAAAGTAGTTTGCACCCCCCCCCACCTTTATATATCACATATACATTTAGACTCATGACTCACACAGAGTTTGATGGGTCAGATACCTTGCCCAAATGTCAGATATCCACCTACTCAAACAAATCCTCTTCCTTGGAGCTCACATTTAGCAAGAGATCATGTGGAGCCCTACATTGTCGATTCAAGGATCAGCTCAAAAACACCTTGCCAGAAATCGATCTGCCCAATTGGGAGATGGAAGCTGCAGAAAGAACCAACTGGGGAAGAGCAATCCACAACAGAACATCCTTTGAAAACAGGAAAAGGCAAATAGAAGAGATGAAGAGAGCACAAAAAAAAAGCCAGAGCTCTCCATTCAATGAACCCTTCTACCCTACATCTTTTCAGATTCAACAAAGGATTCATTTTGCACAGAAGGAAATGCTGATGAGCACCCCAATACTCGGCAATGTGTTCCACCAACGACAACATTTATTTATTATAACAATATACTCACAATCTAAAGCGGTCTTGATTTTGATATGTACACTTATTGTGCTTTGGACTTCATTAAAAATAATTAATGGCCTTTAAAAATGTTCACAGCACACATACAATCCTCTAACAGCACATCAATGTGCTACAGTACACCAGTTGAAAATCACTGATCCATCCATTTAGATTGTTTTTAGAATGACTTACCACTGCCTGAACAGCCAAGTACATCAGAAAAAGTTTGGGCTGTGGTTGGATATTTTTGTGTCAACAATTGAAGAATCATTTCTACAAACATTTTAAAGTCCTGGAATAACAATGAAAAATAATTTAATTATTCATGGAAAAAATATGGCAATATTAGACTCTTGTGTCTGCAAAACAATGGTGTGTCAAAGATTTTCCATTAAATGAATTTATATATTTTCTTTTTTCTTGAAAATTTACAACAGAAATAATAAACATTGATTCAATAGATAGGCAAAGAGATGGATCCCTGGATTCAATAGAAGTGACGGATCCATTAATTCAATAGATAGAAGAGGTGGATATGTGCATTCAATAGACAAAAGAGATGGATCCATGAATTCAATACATAGAAGAAGAGGTGGATCCGTGTATTCACTCGACAGAAGAGATGGATCTATGAATTCAGTAGATAAAAGAGGTGGATCTGTGTATTCAATAGACAGAAGTGATGGATCCATGAATTCAATTCATAGAAGAGGTGGATCTGTGCATTCAATAGAGAGATGGATCCATCCATTCAATAGATAGAAGAAGAGGTGGAGCCATGAATTCAGCAGAGTTGCAAACCATGTTGAATTATTTGACTAATAAATATTAAAAAATACCATTTTTTACCTTATTTGACTTCAGCATGAAACTTGGTCTGTTTACCATGAAACCAAGATATTCTTCAACTAAAACTGTCAGCGTTTTCTTAGACAGTTCCCTGAAATTTAAACATTATTTATTAGTAACAATTATCAATGTCAAAAGCAAGCTGTAACTGTTCTGTGTGTTCATACAAGTGTTTTCTTTTCTAAAATTATAGCTGAAAGCACTCGCAAATGCAGAACAGTTCAACAGTTTTTACACATTTTGTGTCCAGAAAAGAAAACACTTGTATGAATACAAGAAAAATTAAATAGAAAGCTTAATTGCAGTACCTTGTAAGTCATTTTTAATGAAACATGTATAAAAGAGGGATTGCTGCCAAAATACACTATATATATATATATATATATATATATATATATATATATTATTGATACCCCAGGAAGAGTGGATGGGGTGATTGCTGGAGGGACTGCCTATGAAACTCAGGAGTCGAGATGCTGAAGGTAACTACAATCAGTTAAGTGACAAATTTTATATTTGTATTATATATATATATATATATATATATATATATATATATATGAGAAAGACACTATGGACTCTCCTGTGATCTTTGACATATAAAGATTCAACAATTCATCTGCTAGAATTGAGCAGCCAGATTTACCCACACATATCATGTGATTATGATGGTGAAAATTTGTGCAGAACCAGACATACATTTTGGAAAAATCAAATACAGAGAACTTGTGCACATAGTGTGCTAAGAGATCCCCAAATGACCCTCCTCAGGTTTTGAATTCAGAGTTGTCCTTCACCTAGACTTGCTGCCACCCAAGGCTTAATAACCCAGTGTGTCCTACTATTTAATACATAGCTGTGTGGAGAAGAGATGGATTCATAACTTTCCCAAGGGTATTTGTGTGTATGTGAATGTCATGAACTCACTGGGAATTTGGACTTGGCTCTCTGATTTCTCATTTTGAAATGCATTGCACCACCTGCACATCCACAATATATATATATATATATATATATATATATATATACACACACACACACACACAGCGGGTAATAGCAAAATTGTCCAATTGTTAGATTAAGCTCGGAACCATCGTATCTTAGAAATGATTAAAGATATCTTACTGGAATTCTCTGAGGTTTTTATAACATTATTAAACTCTACTTTGAGCAATAAGTATGTATAATTGCTCTTCAAGCTTAACAGAAGAATCTTGATGAAATTGATCATAAACGAAAATGACACGTTTATCATCATTGATTAATCCTAGCTAAGGATTAGAAGCTCATGAAGGAGTGAAATAAAGTTCAGATATATATATAATATTTCAAGATCATTTTCTAATTTATTCATGATTATCTTCGCCCTCTCTAACTTTCTGTCCTGGAGTAACAAGATGCCTAACAGCTTTCACATACAATTTCATTTTCAACTCTTTTTTTCACTGTTCTTTACACTGTCATAGATGAAACTCCTCTCTCAAGTGCTAAACGTCTTATGAGTTGAGTTGGATCTTTTCTAATTGATCTCTTTAGCACTAAGTTGAAATGATGATCCCACTTCCTATTGTGACCTTCTGATTCAGTTTTCCTCTCTACTGTTTCCTCTTTTTTAAACTTATTCACCATTCTCTTGATGGTTCTTGAATGAACTTTGAAGATGGAAGCCAGAGTATGAAAGTTGTTTGTTGTGGTAAAGCAACGACTCAACTGATAGTAGCAGATAGGAAAATGCAAGGAGGGTAACTGGCAAAATAGTGTCACACGTCCAACATTCTCACAAGCAAAAAACCCAGTGCTCAGAAACAAAAACGTGCCTGTTTTATACAGCCGAGGACCGACCATGATTTGCATGCAAATGACGAGACAACAAGATTTTGCGTTAACTGTCCGAGACCGCCTGGCATAAAACATGGGTGCCGCCATTTTGCTTCTTTTACCGTTGTGCAACCAGAGTTTGCACGACGCACAGATTCACGGGCGTTTCCGAGGTAGGCCATTTTCACAATTTTCCCCACATTGTTACCATTACTGAACACCTAAATGATCTTTATCCTCTCACCATTGCTCATTTGGGAAGACAATGGGTCTGACAAGATGATTTTAACCTGTTCTCTTTCTAGCTGAATAACTCAAACGGTTTTTCAGTGATTTTTATGACAAATGGTATCAAGATGACTAAATGTCTTATCTGAAAACCTGGATAAAAGAAACTCATTTAGTTTAGTGATTTTTTAAATATTAAACATTTTTTTTTTTGTGGGATGGATAATTATGTTGTAACACGACTTGGACAATTTTGCTGTTACACCCAGTGTATGTGTGTGTGTATATATATATATATATATATATATATATATATAAAGACATTTTTATGTTTATACATTCTTTTTATAGATACAAATATTTAACTAAATGCTCTGTTTTATAATAAACAGTGTTTATAACATTTACTGGCCTGAATGTCCGAGAAATTTTCATAGAAAATATTCATCCTCTGACATCACACATTATGAAATGGGCAAAGTCTGACAATTATTTTAAGATATTTTTATGTTTATACATTCTTTTTATAAATAAAAATGTTTTAAAATAATTGTTGGACCTTGTCCATTGCCTTAATGTGTGACATCATTTGTTTACATTTGGATACACTTTGAGCAGATATGAATGTACATGAGAGATTCATGGAAGATTGAAGTTTAAAGGCAGTAAATTCGACCTTGCTAATTGAACGATCTTCTGTGGCTCGATCAGTTAAGAGCACGCCAGGTTAAATGACGGTTCTGTATAGAATACAGGTTCAATTTCTGTCGGAGGACGATTTTCTATAAAACTCAGGAGTCGAGATGCTGAAGGTAACTACAATCAGTTAAGTGACAAACTTTATATTTGTATTATATATATATATATATATATATATGAGAAAGACACTATGGACTCTCCTGTGATCTCCTGCTTCAGGCGAGTAAATGTTGTTTAATACTGTTTATTATAAAACAGAGCATTTACTTAAATATTTGTATCTATAAAAAGAATGTATAAACATAAAAATGTCTTAAAATAATTGTCGGACTTTGTCCATTTTCTAATATAATATATATATATATATATATATATATATATATATATATATCTGATATATATGTTCATTTCAAATGCAAGCTTGTGTTCATGTCAACATGTAACAGCAATGTGTAACAGTAACATAGCTTTTGTTGAATGTAAACATCTTCAATAATCTTTTGTCATTTTTGCTAATTTATAAAAGCTGCAGTTACATGTTGACATGACTTTCAGTTTTCTAATGCATTGGATTTAACTTTCAAACAAAATATGACGCTTTTAAAACAATGCGTTGCTTAAAATACATTTAATTTCCTTTCCATCACTATATGTTCTCACACTCCTGAAGATGACTCATGTGAGTTGAAAGCTTGAACCTTTTTTGTCTTTTTTTTTACTGATAGCTCACTCATTACAAGGCCCAAGGGCCACTCAAGGTAGAGGATTACTGAGTGAGAGTGTAAGAAAGGGAGAAGAGAGTAGTAAAAGTATGATGAGGATGAGTAGGATAGATATCAGTTGACCTTGGACTTAAAGAGATCAGGATTGTAGTTGTCAGGTAAGCATTCTCTCAGGAGTTTGTTCCACAAAATAACACTTCTGGGCTGTCTGAGTGGCACTTTCTTTTTATCAAGGAAGCATAAAGAGAATGGGGATGGTTTGCCACCATAAACATAACATGGCACATCTTAGCTTGTCCAAACATCTAACATAGTAATAATGATATAATAGTGGTGACATTTCATCTGTGGAAATAAAGATTCATCACTTGTCAACTATGATCTTCAAAAATTTAAATGCAGCATCAATCATCATTTGTCTGTTCTTTTATTGTCCTCTTTCCTCAAAGGTTTTCTCAGAGGCTTTCACTCTAAGTGATCCCTTGCATCTTAGTGGCTTTATTGCCTTGTTTGGAATGAAAATTAATTAAAAAAATAAAAAAAGAAAACTATCTTTATTTATCTGGAATTTGTTCCACCATCTACATAATCAAATTTGTTAAGTAGGTGCAATTTTTTTTTAACAGTTTCAGCAGATTTTATGATATGAATTGCAAAATGGATAATCTGGAATGGTTCTAGAAGCAAGGGTGCCAAAAAATCAGTGTTGTACCTGTGTAGTATATACTGGGCTCACTTCAGCATCATCTACCATGCCTTTTTTGGGCATCTCAGTAACAATGGAATTATGACATGGAATCAGAACAATCTGCTCCTGTAGACTAAATAAAGGGTTCAATTTGAAATTCCAATGTATATCACCTGAAGAAGGTAGGAGCGTACAACGGCCGAAATGTTGTTAATATTGCAATAAAGATGAGGACAACAGTTCAAATGATGTAAATAGTGTAAATAGTTACAATACTTCATCTCAGAAATATAGACAGATCATGAAGAAGGCCAGAGTGTACAACGGCCGAAATGTTGGGAATATGGTAATAAAGATGAGGAGAACAGTCCAAATGATGTAAATAGTGTAAATAGTTACAATACTTCATCTCAGAAATATAGACAGATCATGAAGAAGGCCATAGTGTACAATGGCCGAAATGTCATTAATATGGTAATAAAAACGAGGACAACAGTCCAAATAGACAGATAGGACAAAAGGCATTCTTCATCACATTAGAAATCTAGAAATTGATAAGCAAATGACTTACCCAGGAAATGGAGACATAGACAATAGAAAAGGTATAGTGAGTAGGAAATCTTCAATAGCAAGAGATGTATCTCCACTAGCTGAACAATAGCTAAATACCATAGCTCTCATTGCTTTAAAGGCACCTAGAGGCAAAAAAAAAAAAAAAAAAAAAAAATACTTATATTACTTAAAATAAATTAGAGAACGGCATTAATGTTATTTAAATGATTTTATTATTCAATATATTAATACAAACAAAATAATAAGATGACTACTAATAATAAAATAATATGAAAAAAGACAAACATATCTTAGTTGACGCATTATGTCTTCTGTGGGACTTTATCAAGACAAATGCAAATATTTTATTTATTCTAAATACTTGTTACAAAATATATACTACTAGCAGTATAACCAATCCTCAACAGGGTGTTTCATTACTGGTAATTTTTGCCATTCAATTGGAGCATTTTAAGTTTAAAGTCAGCCCACCTGAAAATCAATATTAGTAACAACATTTGGGAACAACTGAGGCACATCCCAATATGGTGAAATTTAACAATTTGAATTGGGGGCGGGGGGCTTTGAAAAGAGCCGTTTTCGCATTTTCAGTCTTGCAAGGAAGGAAGCTCTTCCATGGACTGTCATAAGAATAATATACAATAATTTTTATTTATAATTTAATATTTTTCATAATTCTAATAATCTTTTGCATTAGATTTCAACTCTCTAAATTGATGCATGCTGTTTTTTACAGACATTAAATTTTGCCTTTGACTTTTGCGCAAAGTGTAAAAAAATCAGTTTTTTTGATTTTTCACCTTCAAGGTTGTAATTTTTCCCACCAATTTGGACTCAAAACCAGCACTGAAGAATTATCTTTCAAACAAAAAAAAAAAAAAATTTCATCGAAATTGGATGAAAACTGTGGAAACACATAAACAACATTCGATCACACACACATTTTGAGAATTATAGATATAGATGAATATTTGTCACAAGTTGGATAAGATAAGTTTTCCTTTTAAAATATTGTCTTTTGAAATATATACTCTATCTGAAAGTTTTACACATAAAATAATATATATTATATAAAATAATTATAGTGCAAATGATTCATCTAAGTAACAATAATAAAATAGAGTAAATCTATCTGAATTTCTGGGATGAGGAGTTATAATTATTTACATTCAGGCTAATGTCCTCATCTTTGTTGTTATTATCCTAACATTTTGGCTGTTGTACTGTCTGGCTTTCTTCAGGCATCTGTCAATTCAGATAACCTTGAGATTATTTGAAACTGAATATTTAATTTACAACATTAATCCAAATGTAAATAATTTAAATGACCTAAGACTAGGATTTTAAATAATCACTGTGAAAACGCTTCGTCTAAAAGTGCCAATAATAAGGGAATAAAACCAGGAATTTAATTTCAATGTTTAACTGAAGTTTACTTACTTGTAGAATTATTTAAAGATTTCATGTTAATTTCATGCAGGATTTGTTTGCAATTTCTGGCAATCTCATTTTCAAGTTGTTTGGATGGTTTGAAATTTTCATCTGGTTTGGGGTTATTGCTGAAAGCTAATATAACCAAAAAAAAAAAAAAAAAAAAATCTCAGAAATAAAAGGGTGACAAATATATCTGTCGCGGCAACAACCGCATTAATGAAAAATGTCATTTACCTCATACAGTGGAATGTCTTAGTCCACTTCAAAGTACATCTCTTCAAACTTCAAATAATTATACCAGCATCCCTACCTCTTTTCAAAACAATCTTCAAATACTTTTTAGGGATTTCCACCAGCAGCTGCATCATGCTTTTCCTAATCATACAGTGAATTTTCTTTTTTTTTCAATGGTGATTTTAGAAGGAAAAGAAAGTTAAAAGTTACAAGAAGCCAAATCTTGACAGTAGGGTCACTGACAGATCAGGGCGATACAATGTCTTACAAAAAAAAAAAAGTTACAGAATCAAACTCACTCCTTGGTCATAATTGTTCTAGTAAGACAAGCTTGTTAACCATTACACCATTGTTGAAATACTTTGATCTATTATATGTCTAATTTGTATTTAGATACACTGCATTTATTTTCAATTTTTCTAGTTGAATTGTTCACCTATAATGCATATGATCCATTATTGTACATAATTAGGTTACACTAAAATTTATCTTTATATGAATACTACCTTACAAAAATTAAGATGTAGTTCGGTGGGGGTGATTTAGGAGATCTGGAGATTGTCCAGAATGTATCCATCTATTTTCAATATGTCAACAGCAAGATTGTGAAACTTGACAGTATTGGAATTAGAAAAAAATCTGGAAATCCCATGGAATTCTCGGCTTACAGCCATATCACATTGAAGCCCCACTTCTTGTATGATCACTAAAATTAAGCAATGTCAAGTATGGTCAGTACTTAGACGGGTGACCACTTAGGAATACCAGGAACTGTAAACTTGGATGTGTAGGTGGTGTAATGGATAACAATTTGGAATTGGAAATTGGAGATCCAAGTTCCAATTCCAGTTAAGTCTGTTATATTTGCTTATGTACAATTACTCTTGGCAGTGGTATGAATCTACCTCTTATCCCTCCTCTTGTATCTGGGTGATACAATGTTTTACAAAAATAAAAAGATCTGGGTGAGACAATGTTTTACAAAAGTAAAAAAAGATCTGGCTGATACAATGTTTTACAAAAAAAAAACAAAAAAATAAACCTACAAAATGACTGGATACATTCCAAACAGTCCCCCAGAATCCCCAGATCTTCTTCTAATTCCCAAACCATCCTGGGTATGATGATAAACTACATCCGTGTCCTGGGTATGACAATAAACTACATCCAGCAGCAAGGCCTCTGATCAGAAGGTTTTGGGAATGTGAAACCACCTCTTAATTGCTTTTGTTCCCAGGTCCACCCTAACTCAGGGTGGTAGCACCTGTTTGGGTCCCAGCTATGGGCAAATAGTTAACACCCAAACTTGTGTAATAATAGGTTTTAATACCAGAAATACTTTGTAATAAAAGAAAAAATTATTACTAGCAATAATTTTTGAAGGAAAAATTATTATCAGCAATACTAAAAAAAAAAAAAAAATACCAGTAATACAAACAGCTATACATTCTTAAGAAGTTGGATAGTAATCAAAAATATGAGTAATTGAAAAATGGTTCAAATATATATGTATACATACACACCTTTTTTTCCCAAACTATCGCTATGAATCTAATTAAATTAGATTGGCATTTTGTTGGCATTAAATGATCCACTGAGGTTGATATACCATAAAACAAAACAGCCAACCAACCAATTCCCAAACAGTTAACTGTGACAATCTTGCAATTGATATATTCAAAATAGATAAATAATTTCTGGAGAATTCCATGTATTTATTGACTGAATATTTTAATATTTTATAATAATGATCTACTGATACAAGTTATACTAATTAACCCATAGCTGGAGAGGAATAAGAGGTGGAATCATACCACTGCCAAGAGTAATTGTACATAAGCAAATATAACAAACTTAACTGGAATTGGGACTCGGATTTCTAATTCCAAATTGTTATCTATTACACCACCTGCACATCCAAGTTTACAGTACCTGGTATTCCTAAGCAGTCACCTGTCTAAGTACTGACCATGCTCGATGTTGCTTAATTTTGGTGATCATACAAGAAGTGGTGTTTCAATGTGATATATCTGTAAGCCAAGAATTCTATGGGATTCTCAGATTTTTTTTTCTAATTCCAATACTGTCAAGTTCCACAATTTTGCAGTTGACATATTGAAAATAGATGGATTCATTCTGGATAATATCTAGAATCCCCAGATCTCTTAATTTTGTAACTAGATGCTGGTTCCAAGGAAAAAGGTCCAAACTTCATACTGATGTTTTGGCAAACATTGAGAAATGTGCCTAAAATAAGATGCAGTGTCAAAGGGACAGTTTTTCCCATGATGACACTGTTGTAAATACCATCAAACTTTGGTAATGTTTATTGTTTTAAAAACAATACTTTTTACTTAATAACAATATAATCTAACCAGTATAAATTAATACAGAAATTTTAAAAATGTAAAACTTTATAAAGTATAGAAATTAAAATTTAAAAAAAAAAAATGAACAATTTTGTAAAAATTCATTATTCATCAAAAAAAATTTTTTCCTAAGCCAGTAGTGTCCATAATATATCTTAGTCATAAAAGCAATAAAAAGCTTTTCTAATTAAATAATGTCTTAGTTTTATTGATTTTTTATTTTCTGATTCAGAGCAGATTTTCAGTGACAAGATATCTGTTTTATAAAAAAACTTTGATGATTTAATTTTGCCAAAGCATTCTGTGTATAACTAATACAAACATTAAGTGGTATGAAAATTAATTTCCCAAAATTTCATAAAATTAAATAAGTGAAGGGTAACAGATATAAAAAAATATTTTTTTTACAAAGAAAACAAATTCTAAAATAATTCATTTGTGAATAAGTCCTGAAAGTTTCATTAAAATTCAACACTTATTTGATACAAATCGTATTTCTATTGAAGAAGCATCCCAGGTTACAAATTTAAAAAAAAAAAAAAAGAAGTTTAATTTAACATTTTGTTTTGGCTTACATAGAAGGATCAGTTTACAATGAACTTATATAGAGGGATCAATTTACAATGAACAATATAGAAGGATCAATTTACAATGAACTTACATAGAAAACTACTCCCCTCCATTAACATTTAAATAATTTATTTATTTTTTTTATATTTGTAACCAATAGTGATTAATCTATACTAATATGAAAAAAAAACTTTAAAAATTTGATTATTTCTGTCAGTGCCTATTGTACAATTCCTACATTAGCCATACACAGCAGCAAGTTCACGTTGTATTTTTACCCTTGAGATGCAAAAATCTTATTACACTATGCACTACTATGATTGTCTACTGCAGGGTTTCCCAACCTGGGTGATATCACCCACTGGTGGGTGATTTCAACTATTGGGTGGGCAATGAGCAACTAAACAGAAAATGGTGCTAGATTGAAAAATTTTGGTGGTTGATATAGGAATTTGACTATTAAAAAGATATTTCAACATGCTACCCCCACCAAAAAAAATTCAAAGGTGATATGCAAACAACCTGCATTAAAAAATAAATAAATAAAAATAGTAGGTTAAATGAGAATAACTGGGTCACATTTCTAAATAAGATACAAATATACCCGAAACAAATATTTTGGTATTTTCTAGTTTTGAGAAGGATCATTAACATTCAAATAGTTCTTCAGATGAAATAATATAATATTATATATATATATATATATATATATATATATATATATATATAATATATATATATATAATTTTGGTTTTGTAAACAGTGACTATTATAGCTAATATAGCGAGACTCTTCGCAAAAAAGCAAATTGAGTCACTGTCGGTCACTGGGCGTGTTTCTAAAAATAAATACGCTAAAATCCACCTTCATCCCTGCCGTGCGCCGACGGCTTAGTGGTAGAATCTCCGACTGACACCAATTCAGTCAGGTTTCGATCCTAGCTAGAGGCAACCGGATGTCTAGCCACACTGATGAGCTGTGAAACAGCGAAACAGTCTGTCTGTGGATGACGTTATAATACAATGTTATATATATATATATATAAGGGAAGAAAAACAAAAAATATTTGCTGAATTTTTATTAGTTTTATAGTGTGTGTATTATATATATATATATATATATATATATATATATATATATATATATATATATATATATATATATATATATATATATATATATATATATATATTTCTTTTAAGTTTATAATTATGAATAAAATTTTTTATTTTTGTCACCACTAACCCTGACCATAAAACTAAATTATATAGTTTTCACTTTCATTTGTACTTTAATACTGCAGTAGCAGCACATAAGTCAACAGTATTTAACTCCCTTTGGTATTTTTTACTACATCATAAATTCAGTTTATGAACTAGTAACAAACTTTTACCAGATAATTTTGGTATGCTTTTGAATATTTACTATACAGGTGGGCAGTGGAAAATTTTTCTATGTGAAAGTGGCTGTTGATGCAAAAAAGGTTGGTAACCCCTTGTCTACTGTTTTATAGTGGCAGCCATCTTTGTTGTGATGTCACTTATGCATCTACTAAATATTAAGGCTGTTCCAAGAATTATTGTTATTTTGTGCTGACAGCTTTGACAAAGTTTTAATTTCTCTTTTCCCCATTACTTTTCCAACATCCCTCATATTTATTCAAGAAATCATTACTTTTCTATCAATTTTCTTAGCAGCTGTTGCAATCTGAGGATTTGTTTTACTTCTGAAATTTATATTTACCCAACACTCAAGGAATTGATAAAAAAGACATTTCAATTTTTACTGATTTTTTTTATTTTTTTTAATACTATACTTCACCCAATAGGAGGCTCAAGAGTTACTCATGGTAGAGATTTAGGTAGATGTGATATTAACATATAGGACAGTGGTGGGCAATTAACAGACTTTGGGTCACATGTGGCCTGTGACAGATTTTTTCTGCAGCCCACGGAGGCA